AGAGAGAGAGAGAGAGAGAGAGAGAGAGAAAGAGCAAGTTCGTTCATAGGAGAACACCGTTAAACACTTGCGTTTCCTAATATGACATAACGGTGCCCCGTTACCTTTACCCCTCAAAGATATACTCTCAAAAAATAAATTGGACGAATCAAAGTTGTGTTGTTTTACTCTCTGTCTTTCTCTCTTGGCCTCTCTCTTTTCCTAAAACGAAACGTTATTTTCGATTTTGAGATGGTCACGTCGGGAGAGAAAATAATATGAGAGTTGGCGAATGACTAGCAATGTGACATAACGGTAAATTCGCAGCGCTATACCAAGTCCACGCGTGTAATCATTCTGGAACAAGCGAAGGGAGAGAGAGAGAGAGAGAGAGAGAGAGAGAGTAGGTGGTAAGAGTGGATAATTTATCCAAACGAAAAGATGCACCTTTTTCCTTTTTTTTATATTTCTTCTTTTATTATTCTTATTATTACTATCTGTTAATTTTCATTAGAGATTTACTGTAAAAACAAAAATAAAATCTTAGAATAAAAGATGCATTAGCTTGCAGCCCTTCCACCAAAATGAGGGTAGGTTGATTAGAGGAATGAACGCTTTCTCCGTCTTTAGAGAAGCGGAAAAAAGGGAATCAGGGGTGGTCGATGACCGTGTCGTCGCGTTCCTAGGCCTAGCCTAGATTCGACGAGTGGCGAAGCTGAAAGTACCGTAGTGCCATTTTCCATGCAAAAATTGCGCTTGTCCTGCGCGATTCCTTGATAATACACACGTCGAGCCGTAAAGTATTACGCGTTACCGTAACGATGACCGTCTACCATCTACGGGGTGTCCCGTATTTACGGTTCCATAAACCGTTTCGAATCTACTCGGCCGCCTCTTTTATTTTGTTCGTTCCTCATGCTAACAAATTTGCCTTTCTCGACTCGTTGAAATGAACATTTTTCCTATTTTTTGTTTTTACCATCGATAATAATATAATATACTAAAATTGTTTGAACAATAAATATGATAAATGAGAATGGTAACACCCGGAAGTGAATTAGAATTAGTCGAATTAGATACTCGATAAACTATTCCACGCAAGTGCAATGAACTTGTCCCGCATTTTCCGTATCGTACAAACCGAACTCCCAAAGTATTACGCGGTACCATAACCCCGATTACCGGTGTATATAGGGTGCTTCCTTTGGAATCACCTAATCTCTTTTATTCAAAACTCCTCGTAGTTGGGTATCCACGAGAAAAATGATGCGGTTTTGTAAATCTCTTTCTCCTTATAATCAAATTAACTATCAAGCACGATATCGATTCTAATGTTTGTGGAAATTCGATTGCACGGTTATGAACACGACGTAGAATCTTACTTGAGTTAAGTTTGAATTTATCGTATTTCAAGGTACCGTTAAACTTGTTCATCCGCGAAGGATTAGGACAAATATCTCGTTGGTATCTATTTCATCATCCGAATTCTAAATAAGATTCTTCGTCGATTCCGTAAGCAAAATTTAATACAACTTCACAGTTGTTGATTCTACAAAGAAAAAAATGTAAAAAATGTAAGTGAAAAATAAAAAGAGAGAGAGACAGAGACAGAGACAGAGAGAGAGAGAGAGAGAAAAAAGGATCGATAGAAAGTAAAAAGTCGTTTTTAAATGCATATCCTATAAGAAAGTAATAATATGAAAAGTATGATAAAGGTACACATAAAAGATCAATTATTTTGTATGTTTATATTAAAAAGAAAATGAAAATTTATTTCGACTGGGTTTATATTTAGGGGGATTGGAAGAAAAAAAAATCATATACCCGGTGTCTCGTGGAGAAATAACGTAACGTGTAAAGCGTAGCCGTAGGTACTAGGTATATAGGAGGCTCGCGAATCGAGCTCTCCAAGAGTCAATGACCGTTCTACATTGACGCGTTGCGCCGGCCCGAGTGCCGGCTGAGTTGAGTAAAGTCACGGCCAGCCGTCAGCCGTGAGATTCCCTCCCTTCGCTTCACTTCGCTTCTCTTTTAGCCTTGCTCCAACTACTAGTGACAGCACCGAGTCTCTCTCGAACCGTTCAACTTTTCCTCCAACGTCAACCTCAACCTCAACCTCAACTCTCGACACATACTTTTCCTTGCCTAACTGAACTAACAATTATTCCTTATTTCCCTCATTTTACTTCGTTTGAGTTTCTTTTTTATTTTTCCATTATCAGACTCTAAAGATTCGTATCGAAAAATATTAGGGTTAATCAAAAGTTTATGTGTGCATTTTTAAATTGATATTTCACTCGCATATAAAGTCATTTTATTGACTGAAAGTTGCACTGTCTGAAACAACACAATAAACTTGCGAACATTTGGTTCATCCTAATATATCTCACTGGATAATGAATTTCTATTTGGACACATTGTATGAGGAGTTTTTTTTAGCTCGATTATGTATTCTTTTTATTATTGTAAATTTATTTTGTTTTTCTTTTTTCGGTGAAAACATCGATGATTGTATGATCGAAAGCAAACGTTGATTGATATTACCATACAGTTTTGATTTCATGAAAAACGGGGACGTAATACAAAATTCCTAATGTCATTCTATTAGAGTAAGAAAAGATTATACAAATTTCATTGTCATCTCGAAGATAGAGTCTTGGTTAATTAATAATTAATTATTAACAACTAGTACGATGCAATAATATGTAAACCGAGGAAGAAGTGAAGCAGGAAGCAATTCGATAGCGATGTACACGAACGTAGTTTGAGTTTGATCAAGAGAAATAAATATAAATTTTCAAAATAATAATTTCATTTCAAAATAATGAATATTCCGATGAAGTGATTATTCGATCGTATTAGCATAATAATGATGGACGCTTCTAGCAAAATTGTGACAAGTTGATTAGCATTTTGTCGATAAGTGACTAATTACTTAAAACCATAGTTGATATATCATCTTATAATCGACAGGACATCGTTTATCTAGGAGAATAACATGTTGGACAAAAAATTTCTTCAAACATCCAAAGTAGGACGAGAGGAAGTGAACGGTCAAAGACTTAAATTATTGAAAAATGATTGTTGCTTTCGTGGAAAGTTTAGTTCATTGGTAGGAACGTAGTCGAAAGGAATAATATGTACGCGAGTTGGGAGCCTGCGAGCACGGTCGTTTGTTATATAAGGTGAAAGGGCGGCTGGCATTGACATTGAAGTTCGCCATTCAATGCGGAAACGAGCGGACTCCGTTATTTAATCTCTCTCTCTCACACACACATACACACACAACTATTACGTACGTACGATTTATTTCGAACGATTATTAATTTCATCTCATAATGACTAAGTAATGTGACCAATTGTTTATATGTACCGTAATTAGACTAGAATGTTTCAAAATATCAATGATGAAATTACATAAAAGTAATAACAGAAGCTTATCAAATATCATTTCATTAAGCTCGTGCATCAAACGCAGCAACCACCGCTGGCAAGAAACGAAAGCGTTCGACCTGCCTCAAGACTCTTAACGCTAGTAGACACCATTATACGACCGAAATAATCAACAATTTTCTATCACCGTGTAGAAATATTAAAAGAAAAATCCAATAATAACTCGTTAAGTTATAGTTTATAACAGTAGGGTTGCACACCACGTTGCTTTTTTTTTTTCTTTTTTTTTTACATTCAAAGTTATCGTCCTACTGTTATTCCGTTTGAAAGTGAAAAGTTGTAAGGAAAAGGGATTTAAGAAAATTCGTCATCGATCGCGATAGATACGCGTTAGAGATCGTTAAAGCGGTCCGTTTCGTATAAGGATGCCGATGTGCCGGTTCGCGGCACGAAGTGTGCTATTACAAAATGGGTTATGCAGCGCGCAAGAGAGTCGGGTTCAACAACCCACGGAACGGTGAACCGAGCTGCGCAGGCCGCACAATTCTCGCTAAAAGTGCGCAGCCCGCTAGCGGGTAAGAGACACGAAATAGCGGTCGGCCGTGACTCTGGAGAGGAAACGAGAAGAAAGAGAGACAGGTCCCCTCGATACTACGCCACTGCCACTGATCACGTGGCCTCATTGAAAGCACCAGCGCACGTACGATCTGACGTCGACCACTACTACTACTTTGCTCGCGGAAACCGCACGGGTCTGACTAGATCCCATCTGTTTCCACTTATACTTTTCCTATCTCTTTTCAACTTTTTAATACAGGACAAATTTCCATTAGAGTGTATAAATTAATATTCTAGTCGTATATATGTAGTCTTCAAAGTCAAATGAGAAACGGGTCGATGATCGGGCGAAATTTGCGTTCATCGACCTTTTTAAATAAAGTATCATTTCGAGCATCGCTATAAATTATCTCACTTACGTTAGTAGCTTTGAATCGGTTTAAGATGAGAATATCGAATAAACGATGTCTCCGACCTGTCGTGACGATTCATCTGCACGTTACATAATAAGTAATCGAATATAATGAAAGACGCTTCGATCATCGTAAGGATATTCCAGGAGGAAGAGGTAAGAAAATGTAACAAAAAAAAAAGACGAGTTATGTATACATATGTATCTCATACGTATAAAAAGTATTAGTAGTACGTATAGAGATCGTATGACATGAGGCTCTTTACCGAAAACGAATTCGGTTTTACTTTTGGCCGTGTCTCCTGTCCGGTCGTAGAACGGTACCTGGCGCACCTGTACACGCATAGACGCGCGCATAGTGGCCCACGTGTGGACGACGTCCTCGCGCACTCACGGTTTTACGACCGTTTAGTCGTCGTACCTATACGGTACCTTGGTACACACACTGCTATGTACAGTTAGGCGAGTAATGCGGTTTGGTTTCGATGGCAGAACGTGCCACTCTACAGGAACGGATCGAGCATTACGTTCAATATTACGTCGTACTTTGACAAAATATCATTCAATCCAATCGATATACGAACTCGTCATAGCTTCAAACAAACGTGTCTTCTCGCGAGACTAAAGTTTTTGTTTGTGCGAAGAAGAAAACAAATATTGAAAGAAGAAAGATAGAAAAACATCGAAGAAGATCCGCCCCTGGAAGGCTTGTACACACGTACAAACGCAAGAACGCGTAGGTAGGTGTAAAAGGGGATCCCCTATGGGGGTATCGGAACCTCGTTACTCAGCGCACCATGCCTATGGTGTGGTCCAAGTCCAAGTCCAAGTAGACCTCCAAGTGGGACAACGACCGGTAGAGACCTTCTTTCGGATCCGTGGCGAGAGAATGGAAGAAGGTGCTGCGAACGAGGAGAAAGAAGGACGAAGCGGTAGGAGAGGGCTCGTAGAACGCTACTTTGGAAGGGGGAATCGCGGACTCACTTCGCTAATTCACTTGCTTCTCGCTTTTCCGGTTTACATTTCGCTACCAGCGAAAGAGTACGATGGCCTTTAAAGCAACGCGACTCACCAAGACGGTTGGTTCTAACTTCCCCCCAATTTCTAACGACACGTTACTATTATTTTCTTAATTATCATGTTTTCGTAGTCTTAAGAATTCTCCGCGATCATTTTGAGCACGATCTTGCAAGAAAATTGTCGCCCTTCCGTCGAATGAAAATAAATTTGTCGCAAAAGAAAAACCGAACCCAAAACGTCTAGGTTTCTTTGCCGACACGTCTGGCTTGGTACGAGGTCGATAACACTCGTAGCTTCGAACCGGAACAGCGTTGATGCATTTGACCTTCTTCTAGAAATTGTTAAGGCCGTCGTACGTTTCACTTTGGACTAACAACGTTTTGTCGCTAAAATTATCTTTGACTTCGATGCCATCGTACATGTGCGAAAGACCGTTTACAAATATATTAAATTCAAATAACCAAGTATATTAGTACTTACTATCTATACTTATACATATTTAACTTCTTCGTACGAGAAATTGAGATATTCTTGGGGAATTCGAAAAGAGAATGAAATAAAGAAAATAAGATTCGTCTAAGATGCATCCTAGTGTTAAGAAGAACCATAGAAAATGACGGTCTTCGTAGATCTGCCGGTTCTTCGAGAAGAGAAAAGATCATCGACCCCGAAGTAACGTATCTGGGTTAGTAGTCGTCGAGTGTCGATTCGCGCGAAAACTTCTTTCTTTCGCTAGGGGAAATGAAGGATTCCCTGATGCGAGTAGTCGTGAAAATCGAGAAGAAAGGTTGACGATCTCAACTCGTCTCTGTCATCGTTGTCGTTGCGTTGTCCTTGTTGTTACGTCGTTCTCGTTTCTTCTCGTTACCTAAACAAAATTTGCCATTAAATATTGTAACATAGGTCTTACAATAGAAATATTTGATTCGCGTAACTTTACAGATAAGATTGAAACCGGTCTTTGGGATTAAGATCGAGAGAACATCAACTCCGTGTACACTTCTCTATGATTCCGCAGTTCGTCGACCTTCCTTTCTCTCCTCTCTACGACGAAGCTTTTATAATTCTTATTTCAAAACTGACGACGACACGCAATACAAAATAAATGGAAAAAAAAATGAGTAAAAAATAAAAGAATGTTAAAAATGTGTCTTTAACCAAAGAGAACGGAAGGGGTTAGTGATCTTGAACGACCGTGACTTTGGTGTTCGCTGAACCGATCCCCTTAGAAGATATAACAAGTGAAGTTGAACATAATAAATGATCACTTTACATCCAAGTTCAATGATTTTTAACTACAAATGATATTTACCGTAAAAAAATTTAAAAAAAAGAAAAAAGAAAAGAACACGTCACGATTCTTTACACTTTTGAAAAGGGGGTGTGTAGCTACGTTTACGAAGGACGAAAAAAGGTTACGCATACGTTAACGGAAAGTCTCGAATCGATTTCCATTGGATTTATGCGCGAACAGTGCGAAAGAATCGGAGACTACGTTGCACCTAAAAAATTTACAACACGTGAGAATATCGTGAAAGAAATATCAGGAAGATATTATTAACGAATTTAATAATATACAAATCGAACGGATATATGATCGTTAAGGAAAACGATAATACCATAAATGAAAATTACGGTTCATTAATTAACGATCCATCTGAAAATATCTTCGTTAATAAGTTGATTCGCAAGGAGGTACCACTTTCGCCGTCATTTTTAGTCGACTGACGGTGCTTATTATTATATATCCGGAAATTGTCGAAACAATTAAACTTAGAAGCGATCGGCGCATGCACCTTGCAACGAAACAACGGAGAGGGAGGGAGGGAGGGAGGGGGAGAGAGAGAGAGAGTGAGTAGGTGAAGGGGTTGAAACGGGTAACGAGAACGAGAATCGAGACTGGAGGGAGAAAGTTGCGCGAGGGTGCGAGAGGGTGCGAAAGAAAGAAGAAAGAACTAGCGAGAGAGAGGAAAGCTGGGAGCGGGTCGATCGAAAGCGCAGCGCAGAGAAATGCACCACCTCTGCTCTTCTCTGGCAGCTTTAGTCTTATACACACACAGAGACACACAGACACACAGAACGGCGCAACGCGTATGAGAGAAAGAAGGAGAGCGATATAGAGGGAGACAGAAGAACGACCAATAGCAAGTGAGCGGCAGGGGAGGAAAGCAGGGGAGAAAGGAAGGAAGGAAGGGTGGAAGGGAGGAAGGGAGGACTCGGCAAGCGGACTCGCGTTGGGCTAGGTCAGGTCTAACCGAGTTCCACGCACACCGTTGCTCTCTCTCTCTCTCCCTGGTATACGCGAGAGTTGAGAGCAAACGGAGACCGTCCTTTTCCACGTCTCCTACGAGAATAACAGGGAACACTCGCGAAGACTCCCCAACGCCAAGACTTTGAACGATTTTAATCGGTTTGCAAATTCGATAAGGAACCATTTCAAAGCGAATATAGAACGTGAACGCGAATATACATCGCGTACTACCCTTCCAACTCGGACGTTGAAAATTCGAAGCTCCGAAACGATCGATCCTACGAGCCGTCCTCCGACCAATTTCCGCGCCGCGCAACGCGCAAAATTCTACGCCTCTTTTGCGTTCTCGGAAAAAAAAAAAATCAACTTTGCAAAAAAAACAAATAATCGTATTTGCTAACACATATATATCTCGAGGGACGTAAGGCTTATATATCGATAGGGGTGGCAAGAAAAGGGAAAGGGTGTAACGAAAAAAGGGGGTGGTAGTGCGTGAAAGTGTTTTACTTCGGTCGTTCTGTTATTCTTTTCTTTTTCTTTTCTTTTCTTTTTCTCTTTCTCTTTCAAATATTCAAGTAAACTAGAATAAATTATTGGTTAAGAAAAGAGATGCTTGCATTGTGTTTATCGACGGGTTGCTGCTTATTGTTGTGCTGCTAGTGGTGCAGGTGCAGGTGCAAGTGCAGCTGGTAATAGTGTTAGTGATTTTCAAGATAGAAAAGATTTACGAATGTAAATAGAATCGTGAAAATCCAAGTAAGAAAAAAGAAGAAGAACAAAGTAAAGGAGATAGAGGAGGACTCTGATTCTTGTCGTGTGGTGCTTGTTGATAAACAGCGTAGAGAAGGAAAGAGAAAGAGAAAGAGAAAGAGAAAGAGAGAGAGAGTGAGAGAAACATCGTGGATGTTCCTGCGCGAGGACAGTTAGAGTCCATTGCAATTTCCCTTTTCCGATGTCCTGATAATCGATAACTCCCGCGTGCGTGCGTGTGTGTCTGCTGCGTGCGTGCGTGCATGCGTGCATCCCGTGCATTCGTGCAGCGAACGAACGAACGAACGAACGAACGAACGAACGAAAGAACCAACGAACCTGCCGAAAAGTAAAAAAAGGAAATACCCTCCCAAATATAAAAAAAATATAAAAAACGTTCAAGAGGGGGTGTAGACGCGATTGTTGTTGCGTCGTAGAGTCGATCGATTCGTTCGAGATCGATTTTGCCACGAACGAGTTGACAAATAAATGTTGACGTTAACGAACGCAAGGTTAGCCGGTGCGATCGCGCGAGGCCCCTCACGCAAAGACCAAGTCAATAATTATTTCCTGATATTACTCGAGATGCCGATTTCTTTAAGAAACCATAGAATCACGTAAGGGAATCTAACATAGGAGAGAGAGAGAGAAAAGAAAATCCGATCCTCTCCTTTCGCTCCTATACAAACGGAAAGAGAAAGAGGAGTAGCAGGAGGTGAAGTAGAAGGGGGCAGGAGGAAGAAGAAAGATCTTCGATTCGTGAGAATCGTTGAAAGAAAGAGAGTTAGGGGAGGGGAATATATATATATATATAGAGAGAGAGAGAGAGAAGAACGACCAAATCGCCGACGCCTTCGACGTTCGGCCAACCGATGCTCCAAAAAACGCGAGCCGTGAGTCACTAAATAATAATTATTATACAATTTTGGATGTAAACTATTTACCCCTTTTTTAAAGAGTAAAAGGATATCTTGTTTAAAAAGAAAATAAATAAATAAATAAATAACGATTGTAGGAATGATTTCGGGTACAGATTATATAGAAAGGAATGTCGCGAATGGTAGGAAGAAGAGGAGAAAGGTAAAGGGGCAGAGGCAGGAGGGGATTCTATGAACGTAGCGGTTCTTCGATTTAAAAGAGCGGTCATTGAACTCTCGCACGTGAGCTGAAAAAAGTCATTGAAAGAGAGAACCGTAAAGGGAATCGTCGATGGGGAATGTTGAAGGTAGGCGTCGTGCGCGATTTTCGTGAAAATCAAAATTCAACGAACGACGAAAACCTCGACTGGTGGTGGTGGTGGTGGTGGTGGTGGTGGTGTAGGTGGTGGCGGCAGCAATGGTGGTGGCGGTGGCGGTGGTGGCGGCGGCGAGGATTGGACTTTAGAGTTTATGCTCCCACCCATCCCCCTTTCGCCGCTGCAGTCGATCAATGCGTGGACGGGTTTCACTTTCGCGATGTTAAAGCGTTGCATCACCCACCACCGAATCGAAAGCTTATAATAAAACACACGAAAAAAAGTAATGTAGATACGTACTTATAATTGTGATGATTGTTTTCACGTTAATTTTGATCGATCGATTTGTTTTTGTTTTTTTTTTTGGTTTAAATTGTTGTTTCTTCAGGAATCTCTCAATTTGTTTTCTAGCCTATTTTCTCGTCTTTCTAAAAATTATATTTTCTCTTTATTAAAGTTATTTCAAGTGCATCACAAAATCATATCTCTTTTTTTTGCGACAGTTTCCTCTTTTAATCTAGTCTACCAGTCGTCTTGTTATTCGTCATATTCTCGTTCCACTAATCCAATATTTGTAGATGACAAATCTATTTTCGATCAAATATAAGACTATCTCCGATCTCAAATAATCAAATCATATTTTTAGTTTCCACCAAGAAAGAGAGAGAGAGAGAGAGAAAGAGAGAAAGGGAGAGCGACAAACATTTTCGCGATGATCGATCATTATTCGACGTAATTGAAAATAAGTTTTTTCAGTTGAAGGAACTATCTATCTTTTCCCAAAGATATTTTTTTGTCTTCTGGGATTATATCAGAGAAAGACCATTTGAAAATTGCATCGTGAAATTCTATTAAAAGTCTTAAATCCTTTAAGAACGTTTAAAGACTACTCGTAGCTATTAAAAAAAAAAAAAAGAAAAAAAATCATCGGGTTATATTAAAAGAGAAGAATTCTTTTTAAAAAAAAAATCCTTATCTAAGAAAATATCCTACGGACGAGTGATTTTAATTATCCTTAGGTGGATTAGTTTCGTATTGGTATATACTTATACGTTGCTCTAAAAAAAGAATTTTTATATCGAGCTAATTTAGTTATTGCGCTTAGCTTAGATCGTGTGACGTTTTAATAATGTCTTTGATAAAAAACAAAAAAGAAGAGGGAATAAAAAAAGGAAAGAAAATAAACTTCACAACTCTATGTAAATTATATTGAATAAAAGATATCATGTCTCTTTTAACGTTAGATAAATTTACTCTCAGAGAACACGTTTCTGATATTACAAAAACCGGATTCCACGTTTGATACGTTTTACTTGACAAACAAAATAAATTCGTAACATGGTTAATATTATAATAGTTTTTTTTTTTTTTTTTTTGAAAAGATTAGATTGTAATGTTGAATACAATTGAAAACAATGTCAACACTGTTGATAATACAAATAAAATATTAATTAAAGGAAATATAAAATGGCGTTAGAAAGACTAGTTAATAATTGATAAAGGAAATGTGTTGATTATGTAGGAGGGTTTATTAATATTAATAAGCTAATTAAATGTTATTCTTTGCAGTAAAGGATGGAGGCCAGTGAATGGGATCACGCGACCTTGAGGGAGGAGGAATTCGAACAACATGCCGTATACTTGGTGCCGGATGTTACGGCATCGCCTAGCGATACCAATCGAGCGGAAGCTTCCTTGCCAAGGAACCTCGTACTCAAGCCCTCTCAAGCCCTCAACGATGTACGTTCATCCACGAAAGAATCCTTTCTCGAGACCTCCTCGGTGAGAGTCGCGAAACGATCGAACAACGTTACATTACGATTACGATTATGATTACGATTACGATTACGATACGAACTCAACACTATTATTATTATTATTATTTTCTTCTTCTAATTATTTCAATGTTCTGTCTCGTTGTTGTGTCTCGTATTCCTCCCACCTCCCCCAGTCCTGCATCGAATAAGTAAAGTCACCGAATCGATCGATTTTTGACCTTACTTCTGATCCCATGCTCGTAAATGTGTACACGAAAGGAAGGGACACTAGTATTTTATCAAACTCGATCGAGCATCACAAAGCTAATTAACTTGTAAAGTGTGATCATGGACCGAACGTAAGTGCATTTAAAGTTCACGCTTAAAACGTAACCAAGAGACTCGACGAATATATATCGTTACAGAATGAAAAAGATGTTTTTGCGAAATTATACGAAATTATAACTAAACGAGCATGGAATCGGATGATTAATTTTCACTAATATATAAACTCATATAATTGTCCTAATGAAAGAAACAACAAATATAATAGTAAAGAAAAAATAAAAAACAATAGAGTTTTGAATAATCGCGTATTTTTGTTGAATATATGCATAGATGTTGGGTGTATGGAGTACAAGTTATATCCCAAAAGGCACGCGTTTTGGACCACTGGTGGGCCAGGTTTATACCAAGGATTCGGTGCCCGCTGACGCGAACAGAAAATACTTTTGGAGGGTAAGAATTGCATCCATTAAGAAACCTAAGATAAAAATAAATAGAAAAAAGGAAAAGTTGAAAACGCGCATACGTGTTCCTTACGAGATCGACGAACGAGGTGGGAAACCAAAGATGCTGTACGCGCGGATACACAGCCATGAGAATGAGAGAGAAAAGACTAACAAGACCAGAAACTGGTTTTAACAGATCGAGCAAGGCTTAAAACGAAAGCCACGAGAAGAACCATCGATGACTCGTAACTCATCAATTCGTTACGATGAACTTCGATTCCTCGCAAACGACTCTTACGTTAACTTACAATTAATAATATTTTCTAATTTCCTATTTGCAAGTTTTTGTTTGGAAATCTGTCAGTAGAAAATGTCTGATAACCTGTTCACATTTGTAATATTATTACAAGAACGTTGATTATACGTAATATCTATTTAAATGATCGAGTATTAAAGACGCACCAGAGTCAAATAATAATCGCGATCTTTGCAAATTCTCAGGTATACAAGAACAACGAGTTGTTCTACTACATCGATGGTTACGACGTTCAAAAATCGAATTGGATGCGTTACGTGAACCCAGCGTACTCGTCCGAATCGCAAAATCTAATAGCGTGTCAATATAAGGTAAAAACTTATAATCGAGTTTGAATGTAATCTATAAGGGAAGAACATACATTGATATATATTCTTTTTATTTTGGATGTTACAGATGAACATTTATTTTTACACGATCAAGCCAATACTTCCGAATCAAGAACTATTAGTGTGGTATTGCAGAGAGTTCGCGGAACGACTTAATTATCCGTTAACGGGTGAATTAATGCTACAAAGAATACGTAAGTTCATTTATCATCTTTATCGTCTTAATCGTTTATCGATATTATATATTATTACTATTGTGATTGTGTTTTCTTTTCATTTTTTCTTTCGTTCCACATTATTCCGGGGAGACAGGTCAACAAGTACAGCAATCGGCGTTACCAACGGAAATTTCGGCTAGCGTAGACGTGATATCACCGTTGAAGGATTCGTCGATTTACGAGAGACGTTCGCAAATGACGCCAACGGACGGTTCCGTGAGGTCTGACGAAGGTTACCACTCAAACGGTTACCACGACGAAATCTTGACCCCGCCTGAGGAGAGCAGCGAGTCCGATTCGGAGAACAACTACGTTCTCGACTTCAGCAAGAACTCAAAGTCCTCCGTGTGCAGCAACGAACCGTTAAAGCCAGACAACGTAGCCGCTAAGAACGAATACAGAAAGGTTAAGATCAAGATAACGAAGACGTACGGTAACTTTCAAGCCGGTACGAAGAGCAATTTGGATGGTACAGCAAAGGAGAAGAATCCAGAGATTGCGAGCAGAGCGATGAGCCCGGAGATACAAAAGTCAGTGTCGCCTGTGATGCTTCAAAAAACGACCCTCCTGTCGATGATAAGCGAAGACGAGACGGACAAAAATTCAAAACCATTTTATGAGCCGGAGGTTAAAGGTAACGTACCTGCAACCACGAGACCAGCCTACATAACGAGTCCTAGCAGTTCCATACTCGAAAATATTCTTTTACGAAGTACTACGGACAATAACAATAATAATAACAATAATAATCATCATCATCTTCATCATCATCAACAACAGCAACAGCAGCAACAACAGCAACAGCAGCATCAACAGCAACAACTGCAACAGCAGCAGCAGCAGCAACAGCAGCAGCAACATCATCATCAACATCACCATCATCATCATCAACAACAGCAACAACAACAGCAACAGCAGCATCAACAGCATCAACATCAACAACAGCATCAGCATCATCAACAGAACCATCATCAAAGTCACACAGCAGATTCGGTGACGCCACCACCTTCGAGTCCTACGGAAATGGCTTATTCTTACAAAAAGTCGCATCGTTATGGCAATATCTTACCATGTAGTCCAGACTCCAGTTCGAATTTGCCGATGCAGACTGAATCCTGCGTAAACTCGACCACCAACAACCACGGTCCCGTACCAATTCCAAGTCCAACTGGTGGACTTCATTCGAGCACGGGTAATCTTCATTCTAGTACGGGAACGAGCAACGGAAATGCAACGACTCATATTGGAAATGTGCACTCGTCTAGCAGCCCAGGCGTTAACGTGCATTCGAATAGCGGCGTACTTTCCTCGAGTACGATCTTGACATCGTCCTCGAATGTTGCAAGCTCCTCCTGTCTTCCAAAGCGAAAAACGAAAAGCCCATCTCCGGCAAATTCTCCACCATTGTGTCCCTCCTCGACACCGACAATTTTATATTCGACCAATTCCGGAGGTTGTCAAATAGAGTCGAGTTCGGTCTATTCAAATTCGGCTGGTGGTAATAATGTCGGTGGTGGTAGTGGTGGTGGTGGTGTTAGTAGTGGTGGTGGCGGTGGTAGTAGTGGTAACGGTAGTAGTGTTGTGAGTGGTGGTTGTGGTAATGGTGTCGTTGGTAGTGTCGGTGCTTGTGGTAGTGGTGGTAGTGGTGGTGGTGGTGGTGGTAGTGGTGGTGTCGGTAGTGCCGGCAACAATCATCAAAACCCAGTTTCACCGATATCACCAATACAATCACCTTCTTCCTATTCGTACGGTCTTTATCATCAAAACGGAACGCTTCATCATAACGCGACTCCTTTGTCGATCAACTGTACGGTTTATTCTCCAACCCCGAGCACGGGTAGCAATGGCAATCTCGTGTACGGCGAAAGAAGTTCGGACGGTAGACGTCTAGATGTTCCGAGCAGCAGCCATCAACTTCCCACCTCGTCGACGACTATGCAAATCGACGGGAGTCAAGCTGGCCTGATCGCAGGAACGCACAATCTTCACCTCGGCCATCATCCTGGACTCACTATTCACGCGAATTCCTCTTCCTCCGGGTCCCTCAATCACAGATACTCGCCGGCGAGTTCTCTCTCCCCGGACGATCATGGTTGCTCGCAGAGTGGCTCSCTCAGCCCTAACTCTCAGGGATCGAGGGGTTATAGGTCGTTGCCTTATCCACTTAAAAAGAAGGACGGGAAGATGCACTACGAGTGCAATGTCTGCTGTAAGACCTTCGGACAGTTGTCGAATCTTAAAGTTCATCTCAGAACGCACTCCGGCGAAAGACCGTTCAAGTGCAACGTCTGCACCAAAAGCTTTACGCAACTGGCGCACCTACAAAAACATCACCTCGTGCATACAGGTAATTCTTTTTTTAATCAATCTAATAACAACGAAATGAAATATCTTTTATATTTTCGTTTTTCTTCTTTTCCTTTTTCCTTTAAACGTAGGCGAAAAACCTCATCAGTGCGAGATCTGCAAGAAAAGGTTCAGCTCTACCTCGAATCTAAAGACTCATCTCAGATTACATTCCGGCCAAAAGCCCTACGCTTGTGACCTATGTCCCGCGAAATTCACTCAGTTCGTTCATTTGAAGTTACACAAGAGACTGCACACGAACGAGAGGCCTTACACCTGCCAAGGCTGCGACAAAAAATATATCAGTGCGAGTGGTTTGAGAACTCATTGGAAAACGACTAGTTGCAGGCCGAACAGTATCGAGGATGAACTCGCTTTAGCAGCTGCAGTTGGCTCGCCGACCTATTACGAATATGGTCCTGACATGAATGTTGGTAAGTAGCATTTTCAAATGTAAACATTGATTTTATTTATCAAAATGACATCGCAATTGAATAAACAAAAATGTTAACCTTTTTTTAGGAACCATGCCGAAGGAATGCGAATTGGAACACATCGAAAATTATGAAAGGCACGGATCGGCGCACGGGCCGCACACGACGTCTCTTCACAATTTGGAGAACCCAGTGGCGAGGCCGAGCGTGATAGAAACCTCCCAGCCACATATAATCGAATGTACCTAAGGGACGGGGAGCAGACCCTTTTGCCCTGGCGCTAAATTCAGCCGTGGAAACGTAAACGAGATTCGGCTGACCGAGCTCGCTCCAGAGCAATACCTTTATCCCGAGTGGCAGTAAAGATAAATATGAAAGAGTGAACAAAACAAAGAAAGAAAGAAAGAAAGAGAGAGAGAGAGAGAGAGAGAGAAAAAGAAAGAAAGAAATGGTGTACCTTGTTTATTAAGACTCGTGTGCGAGATGCCTTAAGAACGTTCCATTTCGCGTAAGCGTTGTTTCAAAATACGCGCGACGAGTGAATGGAAAAACTGGACCCTTTTCTCCATTCGTTGTTATCGATCTGAAAAAAAAAAAGAGAGAAAATATAAGAAAAAGAAAATATAAAGAGATTAAAAGAACATAAGAGAAAAGGGTATGTAAAGGTGGATAAAAAAAGTAAAGAAAGAATAGAATGTAAAAAATATTGTTAAATATTGTTATTTAGTTCATTATCGTTGATAAAGGACAATCTAAGTTTTACTTTAAATACTCTCCTCGAGCTTCGTTGTTTTTAGTGTATTATATAAGAGATAGAGAGTGGGAGAAAAGAAAAATAAAATGATAGGAAACGTCAAAGGGAAAAAGTTGCAACACAAAAAAAAAAAAAAGAAATAAAATAAAATAAAATAAAATAAAGAAAAAGGAAGAAAATGGGAAAGGAAAAGAATGAAAAAGTGTATGTGTGCATGTTTAAAAAAAAAAAAATGTGCGCGCAAGTACGTCGTTACTCAGCTAGGACCATATAAAGTTCCTTGTACATATACTCGTTTCCATATTTTTTCTATTGTAGCATTATCATGGAAGGAAAGATAACGAGTTTGATAGTATTAACGTTCTAGAAATGTCGATTATATAAGAGCGTCGTTTCTGCCATTCTGGGAAAAATCTCGAAAATCGTGTCCATCGCATCTCGATTACCTTTCCACGGTTCTCATTCGGAAACGTGTGCGTGCACGCGCGCTATCATACAAAAATAAAAAATAAAAATAAAAATAAAACTAATAAAAAAAGAGAAAAGATAAAGAGCTCTTTCTTTTTCTCTTGTCGTGCCAATCGATTATTTAAAAAAAGGAAAAAAATATATAACAATAATAACAAATGGTTGTTTAGGAACAAAATTTCATTTCAAATTCAAAGTTAAAGAAATTTCTTACTAGCAGAAATATCCGTACGCCTCTTATATATATCCACGCAAGAGAGAAAGAAAGAGAGAGAGAGAGAGGAAAGATATGAGCGCATGTGCACTCACGTGAAGGATCTTTATAAACGTTGACGACGCACACGTCGACCAAAACACGGCGGATTTTGTCGGCACCCGCCAAGCACGTTCGAAAATGCGCGAGCAAAAGACACAAATGAACAACCAGTGACGACACGACTGCAACTATACGAGACCTGTACCTGTATATATTAACATTACTATAAATTATTCTATAATTTAAAATGAGGTAATTTAAGGAGGTCTAATTTATGAATACCTTTATATACGATACATTATATGTACCTCGTCGTAGGTTGCCGATCGGTAGGTTGCGCTTGGCTTCGTGAATCACGTTCGGTGGAGAACATTTCAAAAGTGATGAAAGAAAATTATTGAAGAAAAAAAAAATAATCGTTTGCATAATAATAATAATAATAATAATATTAATAAAAATATATAATAATAATAATAATGATAATGATAATGATAATAATAATTTGTTAGATCAAATGAGATCGTGTTTGTACGAGTTCTTACGATTAACGACACTTTTGATGAAAGATGATCGAGTTAATTTGTGGAATCGATCGGTCGATCGATCGATCAGTTGATTGGTTGGTTGGTTAGTTGGTTGGTTAGTTGGTTTAAGTCAGTCCCTTTAAAAGATGAGGAATGAGAACGGTTGCATAGGTCGAATAATCCAAGTAGGATTTTGCGCACGAGCAACGATCGATCGTTCTCTCTTGGAAATGTCTATAGGTATTATCGTTCCTCCTTCGTCGGTTCTCGCTCGATCGTGCACAAACTCTTGGTAATTTATTGCCATAAAGAAACGCACGTGCTTCACGTAACAAACTAATTATTATTACACCGAGTTCAGCGAACGCGGATGATGATGGGTACGCTCGGCGTGTCGTGTCTCTTGGAAATAAAGAACTTGGTTTAATCGTAGTAAAAATTAATCTTTATCGAATACTAAATTTCATTCAAATCTTCATACCTTTTTTATTAAACATTATTAATCTACGATTTATATAGATATATATTATATATATACCCTAGTAGCACAAAATATTGAAAAGTATTGAATACATGTGGTATTTAATATTAAAATTTATTATATATATATTCATATATATTATATATATTATATATTATATATATATTATATTATATAAAATAATATTATATCTAATATTAAATATTAATATGTATTTAATATTTTTTAATATTTTGTGCTACTAAGGTACTACGTTTTCATTTTGATCTTTTTAATCGTTACGCGAATAAACTTTTCAATCTTTATAATTTATATTAATTTTATATTTTACACGCATACACACATACATATATATATATATATATATATATATATGAATAAATATATATATATACACGACATATCGTTGTTAATAGGTTTGTAGGTAGAAATATCATAAATCGTAAGATACTTTTTAGCCAAACAACCGTGCTAGAGACCCGACAACAATAAAAGATCATTAAATTATCTTGCGATAACATGATCATCATACATAAGTAATATATGTATAGATATATATATTTATATTTAGTCCTCTTCCAAATGCAATAATTAGTGAATTGTTTGAAAGAAAAATAAGAAGAAAATAACTGAAATCCTTGACACGAAGAATTTTCGTCGCTTATTATTCGAACTCTTGTCTTCCAATCATTTACATTAAAAATACAATTTCAATTTTCCAGAGCGTATCCATTGAACTATTTTTACATACATGATACACGCATGTGTATAAATCTATGATAACTAATGTGTACTCGATGGAAAGAGAAAGTATTAAATTACACAAGTTCGTTATCGATCGTTCGAGTCGACGTTATCAAATTGTTAATAATTATTTAATGAAATGAATAAAATCAGAACGACGACAACAACGATGACGACGATTGCACGAGTCCTGTTAAAAAAAACCAAAATCTAGTCAAATCTTATGAAATGCGATTGAAACATTGTGTAACAATTCGATTCCCTCCTCTTGAAAGAAAAAACATTTAAGAAAAAAAACTAACAATTTCATCGTCGAAGTCCAAACACGAGGTAAAATCGATTAACACGTTGAGTTTCACGTCAGTCATAAGTGACTGACACTGAACTTCTCGTTGAGGCCGTGTCAAGCACATGTGACTGACACTGAACTTCCCATTGAAGCCGTGTCAAGCACATGTGACTGACACTGAAGTTCCCATTGAAGCCGTGTCAAGCACATGTGACTGACACTGAAATTCCCATTGAGGCCGTGTCAAGCACCTATGCCTGACGCTCAACTTTTCGTTTTATCACCCGTAGCCTGACAAAAGGAAATTCCTGTCAGACCACAGGTCTTACTTTGTATTGAAAAAAATAGTTAAACGTGTCAGTCACTTGTGACGGACGCACCCTAAACGAAAAGTCTAATGTCAGTCACCGATGGCTAACGTGATGCTCAACGTGTTAAAGAAGCAAAATAAAAAGGAACCCTAGAGTAGCACAAAATATATTTAATTATATTAAATTGAAGAATTATATTAAATGAAAATGAATATTATTTATTATTTAATAAACAATTGTTGGCAAAATATTATTTAATATTATTTATTAATGAATATTTATTAATTAAATGAATAATAATAATAATAATAATAATAATAATATTTATAATGATAATTAAATATTATTAAAATTAATATTAATATTAATAAGAGATATATCACATAATGTCTTTTTAATATTAAATACACATGTATTCAATATTTTTCAATATTTTGTGCTACTTTTCATATGCAAACAAAATACTTAACATATATACTTGGCCTATCTAATATATACGTATTTATATAAAAGGAAATATGTATAATAATAATATATATATATATCTCGACTCTGAACTTCCATCATTCCGATTAATTATTAACATTAAAAATCCATAAGAATAATATAATGCTCTCATGTTATCTTTGATTCGCACAAAATACAAAATGTTACTTGGATCGATCGTTTTATTCCAAAAGAAAGAAAAGGAAAGAGAGAAACAGAGAGAGAAACAGAAAGAAAGAGAGAGAGAAAGAGGACCTGTTAAAATCTTGTAATCATGATCACCATCCATTATATGTCATTTACAATCTTCCATCGATTTTTATAATCAACTACCACACTTTGTACTTCCAATAATTTTAAAAATAAATCGTCAATTTTGTCGACGTTGATATCACCGTAAGCGCAACCTACCGCGACGTACGAATACACAACATACGTATGTAGTATGTACATTTACGTACATATATATCTTTACCGATCGATGATTAAGAGAATTAGATCGTTTATGGGATATTCAAAGGAAATAAATTAATTTATAATAATTCGAGGGAAAATAATGAACGAACAAATCTTGAAATCATCGATTTGTAATGATTATACTTAACGACGTATCACAGACTGATATACGCACGGCTCTCACGCGTTTAAAGAGTTCTAAAATAATAATAATAATAATAATAATAATAATAATAATATTAACATTAAAATAATAATAATAATAACAATAATTATAATTATAATAATATTAATATTAATAATAACAATAAAATAATAATTACAATAATAATAATAATAATATAATTATAACAATAATATTAATAATTATTATAATACAATATTAATTATAATAATAATAATAATAATATAATAATAATAAATATTAATAAGTAATGAAAGAAAGAAGGGAAGTTAAAAATGCGATACGATTTCAGATCGATGGTAACGAAAGAGTAATTCGAGATATGTAAGCACAAAGCATTAAGAACGTTATTTCGAATGCTAGCTTTCTCAACACGCATCATATATGTATTATGTATTTAGTTGTTAAGAAGAGAGGTGATTGGAAAGAACAAAATCTCGCACACACACACACAGACATAAAAAAGAAAAAGAAAAAGAAGTCAAAGGCAACACGTGTAACGTTCGGTAAACGAAAAGACAAATTTTTAATTCGATCATTTGTAATATTATCTTACGAATCATTTTCATCAGCTTCTATAATACCTATATTTCATTAATCAAACATGAAAAAAAGAGCTTTACGCGCGCTAACATGAGTGCACATGCAAAAAAAAAAAATGAAAGACAGAAAGAAACCAAAAAAAAAAAAATAAAGAAAAATCATAAGAAGAAAAGTAGAGAGTGAAATAAATAAATAAATAAATAAATAAATAAAAGAAAAGTAAAAAAGGTTCCTTGGTGAACGTATCTTCCAAATAAACTGCGAAAATCCGAATAACGATACGAATAGAAGAAAACATAAAGAAATAAACTGTGTAAAGCCTTGAAAATATGAAATGAAATCTGCTGATACGTTTATAATATGTGACAGGCAACGTGGGTGACTCAGGCATTGAATTTATATAAAAATAATTTCTTATTTATAGAAAAACTTGTAAATATAATAATGCACGCGCTATACCAATTAATTATTTATGCAAAGTGTACAAAACTTGGGTAGAGCTTATGAAGGCGTTATGGAAAAATTCATCTACGTATGCAACAGCATAATGCTTGACCAACGCGATGACATTGAATTAAAAACAGAAAGAGAAAGAGAAAGTCACATAGAAAAATAAAAAGAAAAAGAAAAAGAAAAAGAGTTATTTTTCAAAAGTCGACGAATATTTCGTCGATAAAAATATTTTTGACGAATTTTTTGGTTCATCGCTTTTCCATTTTATCGATACAACAAACAACACCACGCTTCGTGCGACATTTTTCACACACCACATGGATATATAATATATTAGATATTATATTACCGTAGAATCAAGAAGTATTTTTGCTACGTTCGTAATCTTTACATGCATGCGTACATCATAATACATCCGAACGAAATATAAAAAGATTTTCCAGAAACGCTCTTATAAGAAAATACATTATTAATTATTCCATATCGATGAATTCTTCTTGATTTCCCGCTTTGCCTGTAATAAGCGCACTATAAATATTATTAACGAATTCAAGAGAAACCTAGTATTTAATAGGTTTGAACAATGAAATGGAAATGAAATGTGTTAGATAAAAAAGAAAATGAAAAGAAAAGAACAAAAAAAAAAAAACAAAAAAAAAAAGAAAAATATGAAAGGCATGATATAAATTATCATAATCGAAATGAAATGAGAAAAATAGAAAACTCGAGAGAATGGAATGACTAAATAAATCGATAGATATAGATAGATAGATAGAGGAGAAGTGTGCAAGAGGAGAATGAAGAGTAGTAGGAGGAAGAAAAGAGTGAAACCGTGTAAATATGCTGAAAGTAGTAAAATATCGAAAGAAAGCGAGAGACTATAATAATAATAATAATAATAATAATAATAATAATAATAATAATAATAATAATAATAATAATAATAAAATAATAAAAAATAAAAAAAATAAGCCTCGGCAACAAAGAAGCAATATTTAGTTCTTATCATCTCTCAATAAAATAAAGAATAAACTCCAACCGCGTATTTGTACACGCGTGTACAATTCTCGTACATATATTTAAACGACTATAAATTAAAAGTTAATTATCCTTACACTTCGTATATAGTAAATTGTTACGCATTTATTATCATTACAATTATTGAATAGGTAATGCTCAATTAGCATTTGTTTCTTAAAATAAAAAATAAATATATGGCTGTTGGATATTTACATGAACATGTCACTACCTTTTTGATACCTAAATATATATATACACACACACACGCATATCCTTTTCTATATATATATATATATACTTTTCAAGAGGAAATAGAAAGGAAATAACAACTGTGGATTGGAATAATAAGAAATAATGTGGATTAATATTAGACAAATAAAAATGATACGTAAAAAAGGTTACTCTGAGTTGAACGTGAGAAGACCACATGGGTAATCAATGATTTTAAATGTTTTATTGTAAATTGACCTACACAATCACCATATCTTGGCTCATTTTCATTACATTATTGTTATTATAAATAATAAAACCTTACATGAGCCATATCATTCGATTCATACAATCTATTCACATGTAACATCATTTATTTATTTATTTATTTATTTATTTACTTATTTTATTTAATTTCATTTTATTTTTACTTATTTTTGTTGTTATTAATGCTATTTCGTTCAAGAACATAAAAAATCGCATTTTAACCATAGGAGACACATCATCATTCAGGTTCATAAAAAAACCTAATCAACTATTTCTTTCACGATAAAAACTCATTTTGCGTGTAAGCAGAATTGTCACTCGCGCGAATTATTTAAGAAAAAGACTATCTAACTTACAGATAAAAACTTTTGCACGCACTCGTTTTCCCAATTGAAGGATAAACGAGACTTTCATGTATATATCGAAGATAATATACATTCCTATAGTAATTAGAAAAATAATACAATTTCGTTTGATTAATGGAAACAATTAACTATTCGTAATGTACCACATGATTTATGAAATTATGGGCATTCGAGTATGTTGCGCAGCTAACGAAGTTCCTGCAAACAGTTTGATAATTCTAATGTGCTATTCATATTATGATCTTATCAATATGAGATCAATTACAATAGATCCTCGTATAACACGATCCTCGTATATAATTAAATGACACGTTAAACAATTCATTTTATAGAAGAATTTTCTTTCTATAGCACAACAAAATGGATAATATTATTATACGAGAGTTATACGAGAGTTTACTGTATTATCATTTAAAAAATCGAGAAAATCAGACAAAGAAAAATAAGAATAAAAAACATTATTAATATTAATCGAAAATATAAGCCTATACTTCGGTTATTTAACAATTACAAATAACGTTACAAATTGAATACAAAAATGAAGCTTCATTTGGACATTATTTTGAATTAATACTATTTCGTAATCTCGCTTTAGTAGATTTGAATTTTTAAACTTAGTGAATGTGCAATAAAATCAATGAATGAATTATTTAAGTTCCATTTTCATACCTTATCAAGGTACAGGGCTGTCTGTTCCACTTCCACTGTTGGTCCCAGCTTCAGTCTTAGTAGCAGCTACTCTGTCACCTCGTTTGGATGTCTTCGATAATGATGCTACTTCCTTTAACAAACTCGATATTTTATGTTGCATGTTGGATACTTTAGCTTCGTATTCCTTTTCGGTTGCTTTCATCTTATTGCGTAGCTCTGTCTCAGATGTAAAATTTTTTGCCTTCAATTCCGTTATCTGTATTATAAAGAAACAAACAAACAAAAATAATAACAATCAAATGTATATATATATATATATACATAACTGAAAAGAGATTATGTAATAGTATTAAACTTATATATACCTGTCTGTCTTTAGCAAGGAGCTGACTATCTTTCATACTGATTTGTTTTTGAAGATGAGCTATTTTCTCCTTAAGTTGTGTAACTGCAACCACATGATCTGAACTGTTTGGATCGTGAGGATCGTGTACACCGGCCATTCGTGCAACCTTAACTGGAGTAGGGCCATTCGTATCTCCTCCTTCTGATTGCGGTGGCAGCTTAGTAACATCAACTCTCTGTGGCCTCTTATTGTGACCTTTTAATCTAATAAGAAATCAATAAATCAATCAAAAATTAAATAAGAAGTGTCTATAAAAGACGTAATGAAAGTGCATACCTTAAGTAAAATCAATTTATTTGAATGCTTACTTGTGCTCCTTGTGTTTAGCGGCCCGTTGTTGAGCTAGTTTCATATGCGCTCTCCTCTCAGCATCTGATTGTTTCGTCTTAGCCAAGGCCCGCTTATAAGATAGAGTACAAAGCCAACATAACAATTTGCCGTCAACCTAAAAACAAAAATACCAAGGTAACTAGCAGTAGCGTTATTGCGACTTTAATGTATTACCATATACCAACAAGAGAGAGGTCTTAGCTGTAGAAACTACACTTGATGTTTATTCGTTCTCTAAAAAAAGAAAAGAATTTTTGACAGGAAGTCATACACACTGATCCGATAAAGATATACGAATCAAAAGAGAACAGTGTGCACAGCTACCCTCTGTTATGCAGGAACACAGGAAATATGGAAATCTAAAAAAATTCCATATGAAAGATATCTCTCCATAGACGCTTGCTTGTAAATATTACAACGACATGCAATACCAATGAAATTATATGGAAATTTCTTGTGTTCCAAAAAAGTGCACAAAGCATAGAAAAAGACAAAGCGTTAAATATATTCAAAGTACATAGTGTGATCAATTAGGGAATCTCTTTTATCTGTATGTAACTTGATACATGCAAAATCAATTGAATTCATAATATATTTACTTTACAGAATATGATCCGATAAAGATCCGACTCTTTCATATAAGAATTTCTAAACAAAACTATAAATTTCATAAACGCGTTCTTAAGGCAAGTTATAAAATAAACGTCAGCAATATGTTAATACAAAAAATGTCGCAAGTAATAGCGATAGTATCTGAGCAGCTGAAGATGTCTCCTTCGCTGTGACAAAGAATCATTTTTCTTATTTTCAATATTAATTCATCTTTTACCTTTTTATCTTCATCCTGTCTGTCAAAGGCACACTTCTGCTTGCATTGCTCGCAAGTGACTGGAGGACCATAACGTTTTTCAGAATTAGTACACCGTTGACACTTACTGCCAATAAATGCAGCAATGGTGTTGCAATATTCGCACGCTGATGGTTTTCCATATGACTTGACATTTTGTTCGCACTTTTTACATATGGTACTTGTATTTCCTTTTCTATAAAAGAATAACAAGAATAAAATAATACTTTGAAAATGTCATTCTTAATATAGAACAATCAAATCTATGTTTACTATGTCCTATGTATCAGAAAACACATTGCTGCTTAATGTTTCTATACTTACATCGTCTGTTGGAACTCCGACCTGCAGTATGTGCATTTCACAACAGGGAATGCACCTCTACATTCCTAAGGTAATACAAAATATAATTGTAATTTTAATAAACAATTGAATATTGAATTAAATAAATTAATTGAATAATTATTATTTTTTTTTTTTTCATATAGATTTGTGGATTATTAAAATGATTAGAAATAATGAAAAAAATTGAAAAGAATTCAAATAAATAACCGATCACGCGTCAAACATATAATCATATTAAATGTTCTAATATTAGCAATTGGTTTCTACGAAACGAAAGAGACGCTTCGAAACGTCCCGCTGAAGTACAAAATTTCGCGCATAAATTATAATCAACTAATATTACAACGACAAATAATTTACCTTGCATAATTGTTGTCCTGGTGAAAGATCCTCGAAAGGATGCCTTGAAAAACATCTTGAGCACGCAAAAAGTGCCTGTGCATTGTTCGTGCTCATTTTTAAACAGCTATTCGTGTTTGCCCTTGTAGCTTCCAAATTGTAATGTCACGAACGATAAAAAGAATTTCGTAAGACGATGAAAAATGATTTGTAACGTCCTTCGATGCGTTTTAACGATTGTTTTTAACGAAAAGAAAAAAAAATAAACGTAAAAAATTGCAACGTAGATATGCCGTGCACTGTTTCCTTACATGTTTTAGTAAATTGTTCACGTAAGACGCTGAATCCCACAAGCATAACCACCTTACTCTTTTACACTTGTTCCAACCGGTTGTTGATTTCACAGTGCCATCTATGAGTCCAAACGGGAAAAACGTAGCGCCACCTGTTGGTTTATTTTTTAACTTTTATATATATATATTATCTATATAAAATATATATTTTCTTTTTATTCTATCTTTTTTTTTCTCTTTACACTGTATGTATGATTTATGTCTAACATCAATTTTCACATTTTTGTTAGAATATTTATCTTACTTAAGATTTCACATTTTTCCAGATAAATTAATCAGAAACATCTCTCTTTCAAATATTTATCTAACTGTAAATATGTACCAACATTCGTAAACATTTCGTATGGAAGTACATTCTTATAATATATATATATATTTCTTTTTTTATTAATTGAAATAATTAACAACACATTTACGTAACGATATTAAAATGGATTCGATTAACGCTGAAGAAGATATTCTTATAATTAACTTAAATAATGGAATTAAAAAAGTTATATTTAATAGACCTAAGAAAAAGAATGCTATATCAATAAAGGTAATATATTTTCAATGCTTATTAAAATATTATAATTTGGTGATATTATTGAAAGAAATACATTTATATATATATACCATTACACAGATGTACAAGGAAATAACAAATATCTTAAATAATTCTTCAAAAGATGATAGCATAAACATGGTTGTTTTAACTGGAACAGGACACTTCTTTACCAGTGGAAATGATCTTAATATATTAAATCCAAGCATTTCAAATGAAAATTTCATTACAATTTTTAAGTAAATAATTTTACTTATAATTTATATTAATATATTATACACACATATGTATTTAATATGTTAAGTATATATATATATCTACATATATTTGAATTTTTATAGAAATTTTATCGATGCTCTGATTACTTTTCCTAAATTATTGATAGCTGTTGTAAATGGTCCAGCAATTGGTGTAGGAACCACTTTACTTGGGCTTTGTGATATTGTATATGCTTCGGAGAAGGTATAATTTCATTATACAATTGTATAAAAATTATTTTGTATATTTAGCTTAGTTTTCATTAAATTTAATTGTTTATATTTTTAAGGCATACTTCTACACACCTTTTACTAAATTAGGTTTCACATCCGAAGGTTGTTCTTCATATATATTTCCAAAGATAATGGGACCGAGTAAAGTAATTATATTATATACATTTATTTCAATATTCTATTCTCTAAAAATGTCCATTCTCCAAAAAATATGTTGTAAAATTTTGTATTTTTCTAGGCTAGTGAAATGTTATATTTTGGATATAAAATGGATGCTAAAGAAGCAAAGGAATATCGTTTAGTTGGAAATATATATCAAAATGAAGAAGAAGTATGGAAATATTTAAATAAACTAAGTCAACTTTCTACAAAGGTATACACATTTGAATTTCTTTTAATATGATTTTTATATTTTATTCATTACTTTTGTTGCTAATTGAATAATTATTAAAATCAAATTTCAGTCTATAGTGGCTATTAAACGTTTAGTGCAAAAATGTACTAAACAAACTTTATTGGAAATAAATAAAGCAGAAACGGAAGAACTTAAACAAATAATCGAATCAGGTGAAACTGTTAATAGAATATTAAATTTTATGTCAAATAAAAATAAATTATAATTCCTATTTTACATTAACTTTCAAATTGTCGAATCATATTTTTCGGTTATGGAATTTTTGAATATAAATGAAATATTTTTAGATACTTGCTTTAACATGAGTTCCTAAAAATAGAAATCTATATGAAAATATGTATCTTTATTTTTTTAATACTTAATATGTTATCACAGTAATAACTATAAAATATATATATATAATAGCATTGTAACTAAAATACCTTATAATTTTGTTATCTTACCTGCATCATAACATCTGAAAATGGTTGTCGATAATGCTGCCAATCAAGAAGTTGATTAATAGTTAAATTCTGTTGAGATTGTTCTTTTTTGCTAATATTTTCTGTATTATTCTCTTTCGTATTCATTTTCGTATCTTCAGATTTATCCGATAATTCGTTGAGATTTGTTTGATCGTTGCATGTGCAATTCATCAAATCGTGTGTCAAAGAATCTGTATTTAATGTTAAGGTGAATAAATCCTATATAAATTAAATTTTAATTATTAATGATTCAAATTAAGTTAATACAATATATAATAATTGTAATTTACCTTTAATTCGTTAGCTGATAGTTTTAAAGAAGAAAGATTATTTGCATCTACAACAATTTCACTTAAATTTGTTTTACTAATTTGACGTTGATATATTTTTTCTTCAATAGTGCCTGACATTAATAATCTAACAATTGTAAAATATAGAGTTCGTATAATTCAAATATTTTTAATACATTTCCTTAAATAACTAAAATAACAAATTATGCATCTCATAATTATAACATACCTATAGATATAAACATTTTTCTTTTGACCCTGCCTCCATATTCTCGCCATAGCTTGAGCATCCGATGCGGGATTCCAATCAGAATCAAATAATATTAGCCTAGATGCTCCTGGTAAATTTAATCCTACACCTCCTGCTTTAGCACTTAATAAGAATATTTCTGTAATTATAATGTACCTTTATAAACAACAAAATAATAATATACAACACAATGAAAATATATATTTACTTACTACTATCATCAGTTTTACAATTGAATTGTTCTATAATTTTCATTCTGGACACATTTTGTGTACTACCGTCGAGTCTACAAAATTTCAAGCCTTCGGCATTACAAATAGTTTCCAAAAAATCAAGTGTTTGTGTGTAATAAGAAACTAATACAATTTTTTCATTGGTATTTTTGATATTTCTCATTAAACATCGAACGAGCGTTATTTTACCACAATATTCTGTTTCATTAACATTTGAAGAATTATCATTTTTGATTAATTGCAAAAACATTGGATTATTATTTAAAATATTATCTTTATCATTGGTAAATAAATCTGGATGATTGCAAATTTTTTTAAGTGCTGTTATAATCGTTAAAGGTGATACTTTTTTCTCCGGTAATATCGTATTATCAAACCAAGTATCAATTACAAGAGAATATAAGTTTTTTTGTCTTTTTGATAAATGACAAAATATAACCATTTCATTCTTTTGTGGTAAATATTTACTAATTATTTCTTGGGTACGTCTCAAAATAAAAGGACTAGTTGCATCGCGCAATTCTTGAGCTCGTTCCTTTCCTAAAGATTGAGCATCTTCAGTTGCATATGGACATTGGGAAGCAATGATAGGATCTTCGTAATAATGCTTGTATTCTGTACTGCTACCTAAAATTACAGGATTTACAAAATTGACAAGAGTATAAAATTCTTGCAAATCATTCTGTATAGGTGTGCCTGATAAAAGAATTCTTTTTTTACAATCCATTTCTTGTAACAGCTGTGAAACATAAAATATATATATATATATATATATATATATATATATATATATATATATATATATATATAAAAAATAATCACAAGTGAATTTATTTGTTAACAAAAATTAATGATATAAATTAAAATAATACTGTTATACCTTGGCTGCCTGTATATTACTATTTTTCAATCTATGTCCTTCATCGCATATTATTAAATCAAATTTAATATCTTTTATCTCTTCGTAGCTTCTAACAAACATTTCATAACTAATAATTAATACTTGCGATCTTGGTTGTCTTTTAAAATTTAATGGCTTATTTTTACTATCAGCAATGAACGGAAAAATCCTATGAGAGCCCAACCAATGAATAAATTCTTTTTTCCAATTGCTACACAGACTACTGGGAGTCACAATAATTACACGTTTCAATATTGGTTTACCAAATGGTCCTTTCTTTAAGAGAGTCCATATCAATGTTATACATTGCAATGTTTTACCAAGGCCCATTTCATCTGCCAAAATAGCACCATAATTATTTTCAACTTTGATTCCCATAATACATTCATAAAGAAAAATCACTCCATCTCGTTGATGTGGTCTAAGTACATTTGTTAAACAGGCATCTACAGACACTTGTTGTTCATTTTCTAAATTAATATTATCACTTGTACTATCTAATTTATTAGACAAACTTGGCATTATTAATGCTTCAGAAGTTAACTCAGAATCTACAATATGAAATAGGTAACATTGATAAACTATAAAATAATGGAATAAAATATTTCTTAATGAATATTTTCAATTGAAACATTTCTTACTTTTTTTAAGTGAAACTCCTAATAAACGTGAACCGGTAATGGAAGTTTTAAACTTCTTCCTCGGTGGTTCTTTATCTTCTATACTTTTGCAAGTATTATTCGCTAAGTTTATATCATGTGTTACTCTGCCAATTATCTAATAACAATTTCAAATTAATTTTTATATTAACGAATTAATTTATCAGCCAAAAATATCATATTTATTTACCTCTACTTCCTTACCACCCATAATTAATCTAAAACCTTCATCTAAACTTTGTGGATTGACTGTTGTTCTGCCAACGATACTACCATCCTGATCCTACTTATTAATACAACAAAATATATAAAATATTCTTATACTAATAAGCTAGATAATATATGTAAATATGTTACCTTTAAAATCGCATTTTTTCCACTAACTTCTAAATAACCATCATTATCCCATGTTTTATGTTTTTTAGTAGTTACTTTTCCAAATACAACGTTAAATATGCTAAAATCAATGTTAGTTCGTATGATATTAATAGCAATATAAATAAGAAAAAATATAATTCAAATAAATCAAACATATCTTAGAAAAGTAATACATACAGTTTATTATTACTTTCTGCACATGGACGTTTATTCTTGTTGGTATTTAATTCAGTATCACATTCGGAAATCACAGAATCATTTTTAACTTCATTCTCGGTAATTACTTCTTTTGATCTATTAAAGAAGCTCAAAACTTTCGCAGTACTTCTAATGGGAATATTTAAACCGTTGTTTTCGTATGACATTTTATGTAAAATTCAAGGAAATGAGTTGCTAAAAATTAAGAACTTAAATGATAACGTTTATTTTTATTAATAAATTCTTAAATAATATAGTCATCAAGACAAAACTCCTACAATAATTAGAAACACTTTACACCATACTGCTTTTTTATAAAAAATATAACATAAATAGTATTTAATTTTGATAAATATAAAATTTATACAAAGACGTTTCGAATTCAGTTAGAGAGCACTACACTTACGCGGGAATACTAATAATCGAATTTTACCAGTCGGTAAGATGAAGTAATAGCTACTACCGCTAGATGACGGCACATATTTTACCAGTCGATAAGATCGTCCCCCCTTCGAATTTTTTTTAAATTTCATTTGCATATAAAATTAAATAATGATAATAATTCATACGTAAACATGTTTATCTAAATAAGAAAAGTTAATATGTAACATATTTGTTATCTCAATCCTTAAGTTAAAACACTCTAGTTATTAAGAATGTTTAAAAGTTCAATTATTCATATGTTATTGCAGTAATTTTATCTTATTTAAATATTGATAACATTTAACACGACCACCCGCGAATTGCGAGATACTTTGACGTAAATTGTTGATCAAAACATATTATCAATAAGGCATAATAAAAAATAATCTTAAACTTCTTATGGCTATTAATCAGGGACGTCATATATGCTGTATAAAACCTATCGCATTTAAAATTTTGTCTTTTTAAGATCTTATGCCCACAAATTTTCTACTTCTATTTTTTCTCTTTGACAATATGAAACAAAAATGTTTTCATTTAAAAAAAAATTCTTTCTAATCTATAGTTATTCAACTAGTTTCAATACTAATCTTCATTACTTCTTATGCAATATAAAGTAACCTTGATTAGATACGGTCCTGAAAGCAAGTTATAGAGATAATTCCCGCCTTTAAAATCACCATTAAACTTCTTTCATCTGGTTCGGTTACAACACATAATTTTATAACTTGTTGCAAGAAATTGCTCTTTAAAAGAAACTTCTTTCTACAACTAAGTGAACGGAAAAATGACAGCTGGAAAACTAGGTAAACATTTTAACTGAATAAATATACTTTAGAATTATTAATTAAATATTTACCACACGTGATGGTTTATAATATATTGAATAATTTTTTTTTTTTTTGTACTTAATCATAGCTCTTCTGAGTGTTTCTGACAAAACCAACTTACTTCCACTTGGTAAAAAACTGCATGAAATAGGATTAACTTTAGTTGCATCTGGTGGTACTGCAAAATCATTGAGAGATTCTGGTCTTCCCGTTAAAGATGTATCTGATATTACTGGAGCACCTGAAATGCTTGGAGGCCGTGTAAAAACTCTCCATCCAGCTGTTCATGCTGGTAAATTATTTATAATTATTAATATATAATCAAATATATATATGAACTTAATATTTTTACTTTAAGTTTATAAAATTTTAGATATTTATTACTTAATTAAGAAATAAAAATTGTGTTCATATTTTATATATATAATTATATAATCTATGTGTATACAGGTATATTGGCTAGACTTACAAAATCTGATCAACAAGATCTTCATGAACAAAATTATGATATGATTAGTATAGTAATATGCAATTTGTATCCATTTGTAAAAACTGTATCAAAACCTGATGTAAAAATTGAGGATGCTGTAGAAAATATTGATATTGGAGGTGTTACTCTGTTGCGTGCAGCAGCAAAAAATCATTCCAGAGTTACAGTTGTTTGTGATCCGAGTGATTATGATAAAGTAATTAATGAAATAGAAACTTCTCCTAACAAGAGCACATCTGTTCAAACTAGGTATCTTTTCTTATAAACAATTCACAAATTTGTTTATATATTTACAAATTTTTAAGTCAATTAAATTACTATAAATAATTGTTATTTAATTCCAGACAAATGTTAGCATTAAAAGCATTCACACATACTGCAGAATATGATAATGCTATTTCAGACTTTTTCCGTAAACAATATAGTGCTGGTGTTTCACAACTAACTCTTAGATACGGAATGAATCCTCATCAGAAACCAGCACAAATATTTACAACTTTGGATAAGCTACCATTAACGGTTGTTAATGGGTCTCCAGGTTTTATTAATTTATGCGATGCACTAAATGGTTATCAATTAGTGAAAGAATTAAAAACTGCTTTGAAATTACCAGCCGCAACATCTTTCAAACACGTTAGCCCAGCAGGCGCAGCAGTTGGTGTCCCATTAGATAATGTGCAAGCTAAATTATGTCAAGTAGATGATTTGATTAATCAATTAACGCCTTTATCTTCTGCTTATGCTCGAGCAAGAGGAGCAGATAGAATGTCTAGTTTTGGAGATTTTGTGGCATTGTCTGATCCATGCGATGTCGCAACAGCTAAAATTATTTCAAGGTATTATATTATTATTATGATTATATTATTATTATTATTATTATTATTATTACAATTTATATATTTATAGGGAAGTTTCTGATGGTATAATTGCTCCTGGTTATTCAGAGGAGGCTCTTCAAATTTTAAAGAAAAAGAAAAATGGGGGCTATTGTATATTACAAATCGATCCAACTTATGAACCATCTATAATGGAACATAAAGTTCTTTATGGACTTACAATGGAACAAAGGCGTAATGACGCAATTATTAATAATCAGACTTTCCAAAATATTGTTTCTAACGTAAAAGATATATCAGAAGCAGCTATGCGAGACTTGATTGTGGCAACTATTGCTGTAAAATATACTCAAAGTAATTCAGTATGCTATGCAAAAGATGGACAAGTTATTGGAATTGGTGCAGGTCAACAATCAAGAATTCATTGTACACGATTAGCTGGAGACAAAGCTGATAATTGGTATATTATATGTTAATTGAAACTTTGTTACAAAATATATATTATATCAATTATTATTATTATATTAATAGGTGGCTTAGACAACATCCTAAAGTAATTGGTATGAAATTCAAAAAAGGTGTAAAAAGAGCTGAAATTTCAAACGCTATTGATAATTATGTTAATGGATCTATTGGAAAAGACATGGACGAATCTACTTGGGCAGCAATGTATGAAGAAGTTCCTGAAAAACTCTCTGAAAATGATAAAGTAGAATGGATTAAAAAGCTAAACAACGTTGCTATTAGTAGCGACGCTTTCTTCCCGTTTAGAGATAATGTGGATCGAGCTAGACTGGTTAGTTTCTATACTTTTCTAATATATACATTTATATAATTAGAACTAAATAAAAATATTTTTATTTTTATTATCAAATTAGAGTGGAGTTTCATACATCGCTAGTCCTGCTGGTTCTACCAACGACGATGTGGTAATTCAAGCCTGCAATGAACATAACATTGTATTGTGCCATACAAACGTGAGACTATTCCATCATTAATACAATCATTTATTCAAATAATATTGATATTAATAAGCATTTAATTAAGCAACAATCTAATAATGCAGTTGAAATTATTTGTTATACATAATAATTGAATAAATATTTTTATATACATTAACACACACATAAACACACACACACACTAAAATGCTTATTAAAATATATATTTTTATAAAAGGCACGAGTTTTGTATGCTCGTTTACGCTTTAAATGTTTAAAAGATTTATTAAAAAAATTTAATAAACAAGATCTATTTCTAAAAATCTATTTGACATGAAATTTTCCTTTTTTCTAAAAACATCAAAGGGGGGAGGTCATATTCACGAATTGTGATTGAAAAATATTATTCTGTAATTAACAATCCTTTTGGAAATATTTTGATCATTTATTGCAGTGTACATCAAACATTTTTATATCAAAATAGTAATCACATAGTGGGAATATTATTATCTTGTACTTTTAGTTCATATTTTATACGAAGTTGTCGCTTAAGTCGTTTTTTGTTTCAAATGAAAGATGGTGAATAGCCATAGTAAGAAACAAAAACAATTACTAATTATTAAAAAGTGAACAGACAATAAAAACGATAAAAAAAATGAACGATTCTTATTATATCGAAGTTGTAACATGTCCTTACAATGAAAATCATAGAATAGCTAAATCACGCATTCAAAAACATATCGTCAAATGTGAAAAGGTAATAAAGAAAAAAACTTATAAGAGTAAATGGAGAATATCATTATATATTCACATTGTTTTCTTTTGTTTCTTTTAGAACTATCCAAGTGATTATAAAGTTATATGTCCATTTAATGCGAGCCATCGTTTATTTAAATATGAAATAAATAAACATATTGCAATATGCCCAGCTGGAAGAGAAATTAATCTTGAATCGAGTAAACGTAAATACAAATTTGTCAAAATTTATTTGTTTATATATTTTTAAATATAGAAAATAATTAACAATTATGTTAAATATTACTTTGTTTATACTTCAAGAAACGGAGAATTATGAATTGCAACATGAAACGAATGATTTAATTGAATCTAGCGAAAACTGGGATGAAGTACTTGATTCGGTATCTGATATAAAAGAAGATCTTCATTCTACTAATATAATAAGGTAATTTGATATGTTATTTACAAAATGTTTTATATAATAATATATATATATATATTTAGTTAATATATATTAATATAATATTTATTTGAAATTAAAGTAATAGAAAAGATTACTCAAAATATTGCAATGATGATGAAGACTTAAGATTACCACATGGTTATTCAGAAGTTATGTTAATTGAAGTTGACGAAGAAATCAATTCTGAAGATATTGAATCAATAGCAAGTAATATGGGAATAGGAAGAGGCAAAGTTGATTCAGATAAAATTCATTTGTTACGATCTATTGGTATAGGAAGAGGAAAGCTTTCGAACTAAAGATGATTATGTTTCAAAGTATCATAATATATACAGGATGTCCTGTAATTGATAGTACAAATAATTTTGAAACTTATTTTTTTCTACAATAAAATTTTCTATTAACAAATTTTATACTATGTTTGTCATTTAATAATTTTTCACGAAGAGATATAAATGTATTCGAAATTTATTAATATTAAATTTAACAATTATAAAATACATTGATTAAATTAAAACTAAATACATATATTTTTTTTTGCATAAATCGTGTTTATTTTCTCTCATATTGTACATCAATTCTATTATTTACAAATAACATCATAAGCAACTTTCCTGAAGTTGGAAAGATATTTCAGTACATGATTACATTACAGAAGACATAAAAAAATGTCATTACAAATATTAGTATCTATGGGTAAATTGGTTTTTTTTTTTATTTTTTTTTTATTTTTTTTTTTTTTAAAGCTATTTACAAATAGTGTAATATAATGGGATATTTTTCTAATAATGCTCGATTATCAATTAATGCTTTTGTCATTTACAGACATTTGATTTGATTTATAAAATATAGTGATATGATTATAATGTGATCAATACTTTGTTATATGTTTATCATAATTTCCAATTCAGGAGTTTTAATACATGATGAAAATAATAATAATAATAATAATAATAATAATAATAGTAATAATAATAATAATCATAATAATAATAATAAAAACAGAAGTACAATATTTTATATATGTAACTTCTGTTCTGAATTATAATAATTTTATTTCTTATTACAAATATAAAATTAAATGTTGTTTCAAAACATATAAATTTTCATACATATAAAGATTGTATTAATTTATTTTTAACATTAAATTATTTGCTCAACTTTGAATGATTGGCATATAGACAGTGCAGAAGTTATATATAACTAGTTTTTATAATAAATACAAAATTTAATAGAAATTGGGCTGGATAGCATGAGAGTTTATTTAATGATACTTATCAATAACCAAATGTTATCTATACCTTTTATGAAATATTCTTTTTTTTTCTGTATTTGTTATACTTCATATTTACAATAATGACAAGATGATTATTTCATTATAAAAGAACAATCAACATCTGGCACCATGGAAGTACAATGTTATATATATAATACTTAAAAATGATACAAAATAAATGCAGCTATGAAAAAGAAAAAGTTTCAAATGATCTTGCAAAGCAAAATACAAAAAAAAAAAGAAAAATTTCATATTACAATTTTCCAACCATTCCGGAACATGGAATTTAATGTTGTATAATAAGAAACAATATTCTCTTCTTCTGCATTTTCTTTGGAATGTGTAGCTACATCTTTTAAAATATTAATAGAATAGTGAAAATAATAATTCACAAAAATTGCATTGCCTGTCTTACAATATTTATACGAAAAAAAATATATAATAATAATAATAATAATAATATTAATAATAATAATAATAATATATTAATTTATATAATTGTGCAATTATAAATGAACGATACAAGGACTTATGTATGCTATCTTTCATGCATAACTTTAAAAAAATTTAAGATCACTAATCAACAAGAAAAATAATTTAGAAATTAAAATTAGAAAAAAAAACATGGTGTGTACATTATGAATACTTTTCTAATTTTTACCTAATACTTAATAATAATTGCGTATAATATCGACGATGGAAAGATCATACACCCATAACCATTGTAAATAATATTAGCCATTTGCTCATAAATAGTTATTCAAAATTTAAATGAGAAATTCATTTTTAATAAATTCACCTGAAATCTCTAATTACAAATTCTAATGTATAAATTTCATTTTAAATAACATCGTTTTACTCCCAAAAATTGAATCAATCAAAATCTGAGATACATACCAATACTTCTATTCCATAATATTTAAAATAGGATATTCAATGTAATATGCAATTACGACTTTGATACATTCTTTATCCGCAGCCATCTACATCAAGAAACATACAAAGGAAGGAAAAGCATACTTTTTGAGTACATTTAATTTTGGACACTAGCACTTAGCTAGTATTTATATACATGTTCCTAGAATATGTTTAGAGGAATAGAGGCAGTTTCCTAGCTGCAGTCTGTTTTATATTTATTGTATAAAAACTGTAAATTTATTGAGAGCAACAGTTGCACAGTAGCGAGATCATTGCACTAATGCACTTCTACCACATTAGATTGATACGTCCATTAACTGATAAATAGTACCATGTTGTATCAATGTAATCTATGTGGTATGGTGATGTTGATATAAAAAGGCTCTTCTAATTAGCACCTTTTAAATATTTGTTGGTTTTTTCTTTTGTTGTTTCCATACAGATATCCTTTCTTTTAATTCGGCCACTAGAAATATTTCGAATTCTTGATAATAAAGTATACGATTAATTTGTTTTTAATTTTCTATTTAATTTTGCAATTGATTTGTGCCCTTGAAATTAGTTTTCAAAATGTTTAGAGAATCAATAATATATTACTATTTAATTGTTCATTTTTATACTCTATAATAATTGGATAAAATAATTGTAATATGAACAAAAATTGACCTACTTGGTGTAAGCATATCCTCGCTAAGTGGTTGACGGCTAAAAGGATCTGTTGCACTGTTCAATAAATGTCTTATAATAACTGCTTTATCCATAACGATGCCAGATGGAAGCTTAACAGGATCTTCCATAAGAGTATCCATTAAAGGATCTCGAAATTCTTCTGGTGCATCGCCATAATCTTCGTCGCGTGCACGATTATCTCTTGCAATCACTGTTGCTCGTTCAGCAAGTGCTATAAACCTTTCAATCTCAGTGGTTGTCTTTATTGCAGACTTTTGTAATCTATTTGCAGCGTCAGTAAATAATTCTTTGCAAAATGATCGCTGCAATTGTAAATGCATATCTTCATGAAATAGATCTTTGTTAAATAACATATATTTCATAAAACAGATAATAATAACAATTAGGAGTTGCTTCAAGATCAAAATTATTTCTTAATATGACATTTGTATCACACTTACCTCATCGCTAGCCAAAGCAGCTGCAAAATTATCACAGTCAAGATGTAAATATATATCAACCAACTGACTTAATAACGTCCGTGGTTCCCACCCATATTTTTGTGGTTTTCTCACTTTTAAATTTTTACACTTAGGTCCACACAATTGTTGTAAATTAAAATTTAACATGGCACACAATCTTCCAACTAATTCTGGACGCAAAAATGGTTCTGTGATATCAACAGTTAAATAATGAAACATGGCAACTGTTTCTTTAGCTAACGTTAAATAAGATCTAGCTTGTCGTTCGTCCGCTGTCAATTGTCTTCTTCGTGATTGTTGTTGTTCTTCGGAAAGAGCAGACCATGCATTGAGATCAGACATCAGTTCTTGAACTTCATGTATACGTTTTAATGATTCTAAACTTTCATCAAGTAGGAAAGTTGTGTCATTCATCAACATGTTAATGAATTTAACAAATTGATTGCCATTATTGCTTTCATTTACAATAGACGCCCGATGTACTGGACTGTCCCACATTGACTTTAAGATTAAACTAATATGATAACGAATAGAGAATTTATCGTAGAACTCTGAGCTGGAACCAGTTGTTTCAACATCAGTATAAAACTTCATAAGATAAGACGCCAAAAACGTCTTAGAAATTGGATGCGCCATAACTTGATCATGCAATGTTTCTGTTCTACCCTATATTGGAGATATAATTTATTAATATCATTCATTTGTATTAACTTCAAATAATATCTTGTTTATGCTTACTTGAACATTAGGATTGATTACAAATAGAACTTCAATAATTTTTGCAATTAAATATGGATTACGTATACAATGTGGTGTACATACTACTACAAGTAACCATGTAATCAATGAATTATCCACATTACTTACTACTACTGTTGGACAAAATCTGTAAGAGAAGATATATATGTTATTATACAGGCAATATCTGCAGGCGATATCTATATTCGATTTATCAAAATTGCATGAATAACTTACTGAATAGTAAATAATAAAAATTCTGCAATATCCTCCACATACCATTCTGGTAGGGCTGTAAATTTATGTGGAATTTCTTGTGACAAGGGAAGTTCAAAAAATGGAGTACTAGGTGAGCTCTGTGTCAAAAGACTAAGTAAAATTTCAGCAACAGAAATATAGAAATGCAAACATCTTCTTAGAAGCACAGGGTCGATCAAACCAGCATCTGCACATGATTTTGATTTACCAAGACGTTTTAATTGCTGTTTCCATCGTTTCAACAATTCTTTGTTGTGTCCAGCAAATGGAGCATCTTTCCATTGAGGTTCGGATGCTTGTAATTCATCAATCATTTTTTGCAAATCACGTAAAGCTCTTAATTTTCTTTGATACTTTTGTAAAGCTGGTAACAATGCTATATGATGACAGTGTAATGTAAGAAACCAACATTGTGTTGGAAATTTAGCTTCAACCCACTTATGTGTTATTTCTAATTCCTTTAGCCATTCTGCAACTTCTTGAGAAGAAAGTTTCAGTCTTGTATCATTTTTTATTTCAACGAAACTAGAAGGATGAAATGGATACAAAGGATCAATTGTTTCCAATTTGATTTTAACCGATAGCATTTGTAATATTGAGAGTAAATTTAGCATAAATCCATCTCCAGCAAGGGAAAATTCTTCAGTTTGTATTTGGGCACGCTTTTCGTTGTGACGTAATAATGCTGCTAAATATGCTAACATAGAATCGCGACAATTACTATTTGCTAATATTGCATGAAGTATTTTGTGGAAAGAAGTTCTCGTGCTTTCTAATTCTTGCTGTAATGTTGTATTCATTGATTTATCAGTAAATGGATTTCCACTGAAGAATTTTTCTGCTACTTTAGGTTGATCTTCAGCAAATACAGAAATTGACAAAAAGGGTCCGAGAAATGAAGTTCTTGTAAGTTCTCTTCCAGCAGCATTCGTCATTACATCAGGCAAAAATTGTGCTTGGTGAGTGATTAAACGACATATGGGACGTATATTGCCGTTAAGTCCACAACGAATTTCTATCAGTTCTTCAAGTGCTTCTATAGTTCTTCGATGTGTATTACCAACCAGACTAGCTTGTTGCATTGAAAGATAGAGGCCTTGCAGCAAAGGAGTGAAAATTTTGCTGAAGATACTTGAATTCGTATGTGTTCTGGCTACAAGTTCGTGTAAGTAACCGCGGGGTAAACTCTGCGAGAGCATTGGATGAAGAAGTGGTGAAAGATAAGCTGGTGTAATAGAATTTTGACAAATCCCTATAAGACCTTGTAAAACAAGACTTGAGTATTGAACACATTGAGCTCGCAGAGTTGATAGTACATCAGAAAGTGGTGGTATACTTGATCGCTGTTAACATAAAAATAATCAAATACACATGATATACATTAAACATTATGATTATAATTTACAAATAAATATGAATGAATAAAGAATAAAATTAAGTTTATGATTTAACGATTCACTTATATGCTAAATATTATTTATACCTTAGGATGATTACGTTCTTCTATTGCAACTCGCGAATATGAATCTAATAAATAAATAAGACTTTTAGACTGCAATGATTTACTTCCAGCAGGTAATGGTAATGTTGGTAATTGATAAGATGGTGCAGTCATTACTGGACTCAACAAAGGACTTGCTTGGCTGTTCGGACTGTCCTCACGATCGGATGACATTTCTAAAGTTATTTTTTTAAATGGATCTTCTCCTCTTGAAAACATATGTAAAACTTCCATAATAGCTTGATTGATGATATCCGCGACATCGGTTAATTTATGAATAAGTGCGTAAGCTGACATTTCTGGTAAAAGTAATGTTCCTTCTAAAGGTTCTTTCCACGATACACACAATACTCGCGATATAACAATATGAATTTGTTCAGTAGTCACTTCTGTGCTGGAACTTGTTGTCTAAGAAATAACAACAATAAATATTAAATAATTTAATTTAACTATATAAGAATTTAAATATAATAGAAACACACTTACACGTGAGCGTGACACTTTTCTGTCAGAATCTTCAACTTCCATATTTTCAATACCAGAATCAACATCTACACCAGATTGTTTCTCACTAGTTTCTTCAACCTCCATTGGAATTGCTTGATTATTAAATTGTTGTATAGCTGGAGATATTATAGATCCTGCAAATGGATTTGATGGGCCTGGTGTACTTGGAGATATCGTACCTCCATTGTTACTAGAGTTGTTAGTTGGACAACTCGTGTCTAAACCCACTAACCGCGCTAATCGCCTTCTTCTCATCTAAAATACATCATAAATATACAAATAAAATCTAATATACATTAATTAAAAAATAATCATATGAATTATATAATGTAAATGGGTAAAAAATAAAAGGAAATTATAAATGATAAATTTACAAAACGGATAGTATTTTTTGTTTTTAGATATTTTATTAAAATTCGTTAAAAGTTATTTCAATAATAAAAAAAAATTAAAAAACTGCTAATTAAATTGATAATACTAAACATATAACTGCTCTATACACTTATTTCATTTATATTGCTTCTTACGTATTGTTTTGCATAAACAATATTAAATTTGACATTTGTATTGTATTTACTGTTATAATATTATTACAGAGAAAAAAAGAAGACAAAATGACATTGTTAATATTTTCTTAATATGTATGTTATATATCATATAGAATCGTATTAATGAAGTTTATGGCTTCGATGAATAATTATTAAAATACTAAAGCTAAGAACAATGCATGCATTCGAGTATATAATTGACAAGTGTATTACTTAAAGAAAAATCATCTCATAATACTTTATCTACAGAGATACATACTCGTAGAAAAATTGGAAACAAAGAATCTCCAGAATTATTAATCGCATATAATGCAGTTTATAGTTTCAGCATTACTTGATTGTAAGCACTGTAACAAACTACATCGGTAAATAAATAAAAGATAAATTATGCAATGTCTTTTAATGATAAATAACAGATGAGATATATATATATATGTTGAAAGAAAAATACAAAAACATTTGTATATTAAAATGCAAAAACAAAGATATTTCAAATAGCATGTGAATGTTTAAGAAGAAGGAGAAGAAGAAGACAATTCTTATTATTTTTCCTTATTAAATTTTTGAAACATTTCCAAGATCACATTGTTTTCTTCCTATGGACAAAGAAACGAAAGAATATATATATATATATAATGAAAAATATTTCATTTAAAGCTTCGTCATTACTGTTTTATTATTACATTTATTATACTTGGTTGTATTAAAAAATAAAAATTAATAATAATAATAATAATAATATTAAAAAATAAAAAATCATTGTAAAGGTGATAACGCGTGTTATATATGTAGGTGCGTGTAAACGTACGATGTAAACCTATATACATATTCATTGTTTGATCTGTCATTGTTCTAAACAGCATCGTATTAAGAACATAGAAGCTTACATTTGCAACGTATTTGTTATATAATTATTAGACGCTTCGATTCCTCAATAATACATAAATTAAACGATTTCTCTAATAAATAAAATATCTGAAATAAACTAACATTGGCGATATGTTAAACGGATACGCCTGTCATAAGACATTCAGTCATTAAATAAAATTCAATAGAAAAATGAGAAAAATATAAAATAAAGATAACTTAAAAATGGCAATAACGATTTAATGCGTCGAAGTAGAGGGATTAAGTATGATAATATTAATACTTACTTCTTCTTGAGTTAACTCGCTCATGGCGATTTCTTTTCTTTTTTTTTTTCGTGTATGTGTCTTCTTTTTTTCTTCTTTTTTGTTTTTGTGTATATTTCGTTTTTTGATTGTATAAGGCAAATATTACACACTCACTCACGATTTAACGTTAAGTATTATTAATAACGTAGAAAAAAGATCCTGTTTAAAGAATCGTGGTTAAGATATGTCAGAAATTTGGACAGTCACTCCACATCTGTTCCGCGTTTGGACGTGAAAACAGCGATCACACGTCGAATCACGAGCAGTCACTGCCAGGCGGCTGTAGCCGCGTCGATTCTTCAAAACAGCTGAGCAACCAACAAACGAGACGCTATCTTATACCAAAACATATAACTAAACAGTCACAAAAGGTGTTATCAATGTAGTATGTAATGTGAGTTGTACGAATGAGTTTTTCTTTATAAACATTGATACAATTTTTTAAATGATTTCTTTTCGATCTACTTTCTTCTATTAAAATAATCGAACAAATGTTCTCTTTTTGCTTAAAGTATTGACAAAAATTAGAAACATTGAAATAAGTATTCAAGTTATACGTTGACTTATTCGACGACAGAGTCAAATTAGAGTCGCTAGTGTCGTTGTTAGATGTCATTTGAGAATGTCCCTTAAATTATCTTTCTTCAAATAATTTTAAGTATAAAAAGGTATAAGATACTTTTACATATATTATCTTACTCGATACATCCTCTGGGATATCATTTGTTAAAATCTTTTACTATAAACTAGATAATTCTAAATATATTACAAAATATTAATACTTCATTTACGTGTGTAGTACATTAATATCAGCAATATTGAAATGCAATGAATGAAATGTTCTAATCATTGACATATATAAAATATTCATTTATTTGACAACACTTGTTATATATTTATATATTTAATGTCAAGAACGTTATATCAAGGTAGTTGTCTAATCTATTACCGTTACGTGTAGTTCTTGGTATGTATCATAATAATATTTTCCAATTTTATTTAAAAACCCGTTATCATTTTTTAATTACTTATGACATTTATAGAATTTAAAAAGAATTATATATAAAATGTAATATAAATGAAACATTAAATTAATTGACGAAAATATTTCTTGTCTAGAATATAAGGGACAAACTATTATCTCTTCTAAAATAATCTGTGGTGAACGGATGATGTCTGGGGATTGGAGGCGTGACTTGAGATAGAGTTATCAAATCACGGCAAAGATTCGTGAGAAAACATAAACGAATTTTCAAATCATACGACGACATAAAACTAGTTGTCAGTTTTACGTGCATCACATCTGTTAAACTCGAAATAAGAATGGAGACATATGAAAGTGTTTTACTTGTTAAATCGGAAGTATTTGTGTTTAAAATACCACCAAGGTCAACTAATAGAGGTTATCGGTAAGAAGAAATTATTTTAACCAAGTATTCGATCTGACATATAACTGTTCTAATTTTATATCTTTTTAACGATTTAAATCTATTTATTGTTGCCTTCATTATTGACATTGTCATATGTACATTTGAAAAAAGCTTTATTATCAAAATAATATATATTTCTTATTTTTATTTTTCAATGTTAAATTCAATGGAATAGTTTTATGTTAAAAATTGATATCTGTATCATGTGCGTGTAACATTAACATATTTTATTGCAATTTCACTGTTTCATTTGTTTAAGAATTGACATTTACATTGTTGAATATTTGTTAACAAATTACAGTTTTATATAAACTTTGTATCTATATACACGTATAATTGTGCATAAATATAATTCATACACTTCTTATTCATAGAGCAGCTGATTGGAATCTACAAGAACCTTCATGGACAGGACGAATGAGATTAGTATCTCAGGGAGATTCTATTGCTATAAAACTGGAAGATAAAATTACGGGTGAATTATTTGCTAAATGTCCAATCGAACAATATCCTGGAATAGCGGTTGAACCAGTCACAGATTCTTCTAGATACTTTGTGCTAAGAATTCAAAATGACAATGGACGATCTGCTTTCATTGGAGTTGGTTTTTTAGACAGATCAGATAGTTTTGATTTAAATGTTGCTCTACAGGATCATTTTAAGTGGCTTAAAAATCGTGATCAGATAGAGAAAGAGAAAGAAACACCTAAACAAGAATTGGATCTTCGATTTAAGGAAGGAGAAACTATCAAAATTAATATGAAGATAACTGTAAGAATATTTGAATACTTCTTTAGTCTTCTGTAGTAATGAAAATAATAACGCGAATTTAATATATTTTGTTACTTAGAAAAAAGATGGCAGCGAAGTTGTATCGAAATCAAAACAACGACCTAATTTAGGTGTTGGTTTGCCACCTCCACCAGGTGGTGTCAAAATTGCTCCACCACCTGCTAAAACTCCAACTTCGTCCCCAGCTCATAAATCAGCTCCAAATCCAAATCAAGGATCAACGGGTTCAGAATGGGGTGAGTTTGCTAGTGCATCTCAACAATCGTCAGGACCTAGTACAACTGTAGCAAATGCCAGTTGGGTACAATTTTAATTGGGTCAAAAATATATCATTGATAGCATATGCTATTTAATACATGCACAAATGTACAAAGTTACATTTGCATGTGTTCTTAAATATATCTACGTTGTTATCTTTTAAGGGATAGATTTAACGCAAATCAAGGATGCATCTATGTATGATGTATAAATGAATTCTATATGATTTTGATATCAGTACTTAATTGTATAAGATTTTATTTGCTTTAATTACAACATTAACATCAACCAAACAACAGCAACAATAAAATCTTGTTGTTTGTTTTATTTGATTTTTTGTTTTATTTATACTTTATACTTTATCGTTATTAAACAAATCATTACATATTTCTCATCTCATAGATGCATTCTTTGTAGTCCTTGAAAGAGTACAGATAATTCACAATAAATATTGTGTCCAAGTCTCTGATGTTTGTATATAATATGAAAACTAAAGAGCCTAATATTTCAGTATGCCTTAAGCTTTGTGAGACATTATACTTCTAAAAACAATTACTTATGAGTCACTCAAATTATGTTGTACATATGATTAGGTGTGCAGAATTTTTTAATATAGATCTTTCATCATACTATAAAGATTAACAGTATGTAAACATTATCATTTCTTTTAAGAGTAGAATTGTGGTAAACATTCAGATGTATTATATAATCTAAATTAACTTAACTTAAAACTTTATTAAAATGTGATGGAAAATATGTACTTGTACGACAAGTACTTGTAAAGATGTAATGAAATGTTGAAAGTAGTAATGTTCCCTAAAATTGATTCTAAATATGTTAAAAAAAAAAAAAAAAGAATAAACATTTTTGTTTATAAATGTCAAAAATAATTAAAAAAAAAAAAATAAACAGACATATAATAAATTTTTTCCTGTATATAATACATATGGAATATAAATTTGTAGATGTCTTCAAAAATGTTTAACAAAAGATTTAATTGTATGTTTTAGCACTATATGTATTATAATTGAATCATTGCCATTCCAGGATTTGCATTTTTTTAAAAATAGATCATTCTAGGTGTATAGGATCAATGTGTATAATGAAGGTTTATTAATTTAATTAATGCAAAAATTGCCAACGTGTACTATGGTGTATATTTTTATCTGTAGATATAATAAACCACGTAACCACTAGTGCATTTAAATAACTATAACAAATCATAATTATAAATAATGCTCCAAAAAATCATGTTGTTATAACAGTTCAGAACTTGCTCCATTAGATTTCATAAATTTGAATTTTAATTCGAATTGCATCAAGAACGTTTATTATTACGTGCAACATTAAGTCGCAAACTACGCATAGCCATCGCACGACTAAAATGACGTTGAACTGGACGTTGTAGTTGTCCAGTAACCAAAGTGGAATCTTCGTCACATTCCACGCTACTCAAAACAACTAACAATACACCTAGCACCTGATGTAAACATATATTACATAGTAAGTTATATTTTGAAAAGCCTTATACATATATATATATATAATATGAATACAAGTAAATTACAGTTATTAATTCAGTGTTTCTTAAACTAAAATTTAAGCAAACTCTGTGTATTAGTAAGGTTGTGATTAAATAGCAAAACTAATTGTTTTTTCATTGATAGTTTAAATATTATTTTTGAGTTAAATTTATATAAATGGTTGACGACAATTAACTTCTATTAATGATTACAATTTGTTGTATGCACATATTCTATTCTTCTTTTGTAAAAAAAAAAAAAAAAGATATATATACATATCTTTTTTACAAAAGTTTGTAAAAATAACAGTTAAATGTTCGATAATGTTTAAGAATCGCTGTATTAATATTCGTTTTTAAAATTAAGATTACATAATAATTTAAATACATACCAAGCATATAATAATTAAAAGAGTGTAGATATGTATACTAGGACCAGGCAATGATTCCACTTCTTTTAAAGCTTTTGCAGCATCAGAAAGATTAGGTTTCAATTCTAAAGCATGCCGCAAATGGACAGCAGCTTCTTGGTAGTGACCATATGCCTAAATAAATGGTATATGCTTACATTAATAATTATAAAATAAAGTACATATATATATATATAACTTTAAAACGAATGCACAATAGACTATTTTCCAAAAGTAAAGAAAAATAGAAAAAGATGTTATAAAATATGTAACTATAGGCCTATGTAAGTGACGTAAATTCACCGATAATATTTGTCCAAGTGTTAAGTATTGTTCCCATGCATTGCGATCTGGAGGTTGTAATGCTAAAGAACGCATTGCTAAATAATTTGCATCATCTAAATATCGTAAAACCAACAATACTCTTGCTAAATTTAATAACACTTCTGCATTATGTGGTGAAACTGCAAGAGCTCTTCGAAAACATTCAATTGATCTTTGCGCATCTCCTTTTATTCTCCAAAAATTTCCAATTTGATTATATAACTGAACAGATTTGGGTTTCTATAGAAAACAAAAGCAATGATAGATAAATAAATGTATTTATGTTGAATGTGTACATAGTAAAATAACACAATTAAGTAAAACATACCTCTCGTTTTGCTTTTTTTAAACGCCTCTCTAATAAGTCAACATCTATAGCTTTACCATTATTCTTTTTAAACATGAGTGCAACATTAGGCTCTGGTACCAATGGATGATTATTTCTATTTGCAACACCGGTGAGATTGTCATAATATGTATAGTTAACTGGTTTCCCACAATCAAGAATTACATCTTCACATTGCTGATCGGGCGTACATATCACTTGGTCACTCAATACTTGCGGTGATAATGGATATGGTTCCGTAGAATTTGGTGCATCCGTCAATGCATATGACATGAATCGTCTGCCAAGGGGACGAAAGTTAGGGCTCTTTTAACGCTGAAAGAACAGCAAGCCACACACAAACACTAACTACGGGAAGAAAAAGAAAATTACATCAGATACATTGGTAATGCTTCTGCAATAAAAATATAGTTACATAAACATTCACAGGATATTGTATAACAAAAATTATAAGTATGTATGTGTGTGTGCACATTCAAAAACTTGATGTTATTGACTCGTCATATTGTAACAATATGTACATTAACATATATTACAGATTTATTTTGCACTACAGTATTAACAAAAATTATATATGTCTTTAATAACATCCATAAACTATAACACGAAAATTAATGGAAATAAAGCAAAGCTAGAATTTAAATTATATTCTGTTTTGTTACCTCCAATTTATCCCAGTTGTTAGTTAAAGTTAATCGTTAAGCAGAATAACAAAAAAGAGAGAGAAAAAGAAAAGTAGATAAATAGACATTAAAATGCATACAAACATACAACTAAGAATAATAGTATATAAAACGTATGTATAGTGTAATGGATATGAATTATAATTTAAAATTTAAACAGAGGATCGGGATAAGAATAAATTGAAATTATCGCGTAGATGCAATTTATGCTAATAATTATTCTTACTTACAACTATTCTAATTGAATAAGAAATGATTGATTAAATATGTGCAGTAATAATATGCAATTTACTGTTAAATACTCAATACACATTCATCGTTGAATGCATGCATTGAAAAAACATGCACATACAGATTCTTACCAATCATTTATTAATCATGAATTTATTTAATATTCTTACCGATCTTGGCTGCCTGAACCAAAACTTTTGCACTCGTAATAAACCTGTACTTTATCAAGCTTCTCTGATGCTGCTGTTTTACTCCATCCTTGTCCATTGCCTATACTGCTTGCAAGTATATCAAAAATAGGATCATCTTCGACAGTGCTTACAAGTTCTGTTGCTTTAACAACTTTATCTACGTTAAGTCTCCAAGAAGTTCTAGAATTTGTTAAATTTGCCTGAAGTACCAGGAGGCAAAATAAACAACCAAACATGCGCCCATCGAACCATACATCATACATTTTCACCTTCCTTATTATTTTTCTAAAGAAAATTAAAATACGTTGATCGGATTATTAGATAAGAAGATCTGTCAATGAAAAAGAAAATTAATATTATTTTTAATATTCCTTCACGCAACACATTGAAGTCTGTCAAAACACAGAAAATTTCTAAAATTTCTAAGAAATGAAGATATCGGTTGTTTTATCAACCATGCGCGAACATTTCAGTATTGCAACCCAATAAAAACAAACATTCAATGCACTTTTATTATTGGCAGATTTACAATTATTTTTAGAAATATATTTGATTATATAAATTAATTTTATTTATGTAATTATGAATAAAAATTAATTGAAAATAAAAGAAGTAAAACGAATAATCAAAAAGTGGTATTGTGTTATGACGACAGAAAACTATTCAAAAATTCGCCATCAATTTTATAACGTTGACAAGATTGTCATAGTTATGCAGTTACAATGATTTCACGCTAATGTTTATGTTGACATTTTTTCGCCATTCATAAATTTCAACGAAGAAATGATAGACGAAAAATGATATTTATTTTTATTAGTTGACATTTAATATAATAAGGCTCCAGTATGACGTCCAAAACTGTGTGCATTACTCAAGAGGGTCCAGCTAATGCTTTAGCTCTTAATAAAGATAATAGTCAAGTTGTCATAGCTGGACGTAATGGTAATATTTTCTTAATTATTTATATATATATATATATTTATTTATTTTTTATTATAATATTAATTGTCGTCATTTTATAATCATTAATTTTTCATTCTAGTATTCAAAATATTTACATTAATGGAAGACAGGTTTGAAGAATCATGCAATTTGAGAGTTGGAAAAAATTTAAACTTGAATTTTTCATGTAATGACGTTGCATGGAACCTTATTGATGGTATAATATTTAATTCACTATAATTTTTATTAACAAATAGCATTTATAACATACTATATAATTTGTATTATTTTAAGATCATATTCTGGCAACAGCCGCTACTAATGGTGCAGTAGTTGTATGGAATTTAAATAAATCTTCAAGATCAAAACAAGAACATGTTTTCATTGATCATAAAAGAACTGTCAATAAAGTTAGCTTTCATATGACAGAACCTATGTGGCTAATATCTGGTTCACAGGATGGAACTATGAAATGTTTTGATTTACGTATAAAAGAAGCTACAAAAACATTTTATAGGTAAAATACAAACCTTTACTTTTACATTTGACAGGGTTGGAAGAATATATAATTTGTTTATTTCATTATGAATAAACTTTATTTATTTATAAAGTATAAATTCTTACTGACCCTGTCAGTGATAAATTGCAGCTATTGTAAAGCTTTGAAATCTTAGTAATACGGAGTCTGTACGAGATGTTCAATTCTGTCCTCATCAACCACATACTTTTGCTGCTGTTTCTGAAAATGGCCATGTTCAACAGTGGGATTTGCGAAAACATGATCGCTATTTTCAACATTTTACTGCACACAGTGGACCAATATTTGCTTGCGATTG